GCGCGGCGCCGTCGTCGACGATGTCGAGCTGCCGGCCGAGTTTGACCGCCTGCCCGCGTGGTACGACGTGGTGCTGGCGTGCGAGGGCGGCGCCGCGTTTCTGCCCGAGTACCGCGCGCACCGGGCGCATCTCAGCGCGCTGCTGGCGGGTTTCGCCGAGACGAGCGGCGGCTACTCGCACCGCGAGTACCTCGAGGCGCTCGACAATATCGCGGCGCTGCGGCCGCGCGCGGACGCGCTGCTCGCGGGCTACGACGCCGTGCTGACGCCCAGCGCGCCCGACGAGGCCCCGCTCGGCGCCACCACCGGCAGCTACCTCTTTTGCAAGATGTGGTCGGCGCTGCACGTGCCGGTGCTCAATATGCCCGGGTTCCAGGGCGTCCACGGCATGCCTGTCGGTCTGTCGCTGCTGGCGCCGCGCTTCAAGGACGCGCAGCTGCTGGCCGTGGCGGTGCCCGTCGGCGCACTCTTTGAGACGGAGGGTGGCTGGACGCGGCGCGTGCATCATCATCATCATCATCATCATCATCATCATCATCATCACAAAGCGGCGCGGCGAGCGAGTATTACGGGGACTGATGATGGCGATGATGATGGTGACGAAGCGGTAGAGGGAAAAAAAAAAGCCAATGGCGTCAGCCACAACGGTATGGATCACGAATAAAATTAATTTCGCTCTCTCGGAGAGCATTTTTATACCAGGACTCAGGTAGACTGATGCAGACGTGGTCAGCAGCTGGCGGGTTCAAACCCCGCCTATAATTACAAAAGAAAATTACAACATGGTAATACAGGCCTTGTACAGGAAAGAACATTGTTCTGTTTTTTTTTTCTTTTCTGATTTGGGATGTTTTTAATGCTTGTTTTCACTTTGCACCTTGTACGAATTCTTTTTGTGAGGATGAGGAGATGTGGAACAAGAAAACGGCAAAAAAAAAAAACTTTGTTATATATCGCAGACTCCTGGTTTCGATATCAAAGGTTGAGCTCGTACCAGATGCCCAGGGCTAATTCTTTTTTTCTTTTCACACGCCAAAGTTGTAGTAATGCATATATGCTTTGTGCATACGACTTGTGCATACGAGACAAATACAGAAAAAGGGGGACATATTCATCAAGTGTGGACCAAGTCTTGTCAAGAGGAGAGAAAGAGAAAAGGTACAAAAACAATTCCGTCATTCATTACGTTGGCTCATTGACGAGGAGCCATGGCGTGGTCAATGCATCCGGCGAGCTATCAGAGGTTAGCTGATGATCCTTTTTGTGAAATTTGTGTGTTTGTCGCATGGTACGTACGCCTTCTGGATAAATGCCCTGGTTGCCAAGATATCGGCACATGCTCCTGACAAGCTCGACTTGGTCGTCGGGGCCTAGTCTGGTAATGGCAGCTTCCAATACAGTGCCAAGATCGACCTTGTAGACGGCAATAAAGGTGTGAAGATACATGTACGCAAAGAAACCCATGATGAATTGGCAATCCATGCGGTCGGTCATGCCGCCGTGTCCGGGGATGGAGTCGCCAAAGTCCTTGATCTTGAAGGTGCGCTTGAGTCCCGACGCGAAGAAGCCGCCAAAAGGTGCAATGAGCGAGGCAAACGAAGCCAGAACAAAGGTATGGAGTTGAATCGGAGCAAAGGTAAGAGTGATTGTGCGGTGCTGCGGCAGGAAGAAGAATTGCGGAACCTCATAGGTGGCGGGCAAGAAGACGGGGTTCGGGTTGCACTGCAGGCCGGTAAAGATGTTTGCGCCGAGATCGTTGACGGGGCAGATGAAGAATTTCGACTTCATCATGAGGTTGGTGAGGAAGATGCCAAAGATTACCGTCATGATCCAGGCGCCGACGAAGCCCTCGACCGTCTTCTTGGGCGAGAGCTTGATAAGCTGGGTGCGGCCAAAGGCGATGCCGCAAATGTAGGCAAAGATGTCGTTGGTGATGACGAGAGAGGCGGGGAGGAAGAACCAGATCATGCCCTCAAGGATATTGTTCATGACAAAGTGCGCCTGGACGACGATGAGGTAAAGGGCCATGTGCGTCCAGGCAAAGTTGGTAAACTGGAACTTGTAATGACCGGCCTTGAGCGAGGCGACAAAGAAGACGAACCCTAAACGAGTTAGTTGGCTTGCAGTTGGAAGAGGCAGATTGCGCCGGGGTGGGGGAATCGCAAGGGGTTTGCGATGCTTGCTCACCAAAGACGTAGAGGATAAAGCTGATGAAACGGTGATGGGTAGCGAGGGGAAGCAGCACCTTGTCAACCAGAACAATATGCTTGAAATAGTAGATGACGCTCTCGCCGTACAAAAAGTACATGGTGGTAGCAAGCCAGTACCAGTTGAGGCTCTTGGTCGATCGCAGAGAGCGTGCGCGGCTGGGTACGTTGGCAATGGCAATGACCTCCTTGAAGGAGATGATCTGGACGGCGGTGACAATGGCAATCATGTAAATGTGGCCCATGAAGAGGGCGCCGAAGAAGACTCCAATCATGACAAAGGTCCATAACGTGCGCGTCCAGAAGTTTGCCTTTTTCTTTTCGTACTCGGCTCTTTGCTCCTCGGCGGTGGGTGGTTTCTATCGAGGCGAGGAAGCGGGTTAGTTTTTGAAGCGCAAGCACGCAGCTAGGGGTGGGGAGAGTGGTTGAAGCCAGAGAACAGCAAAGACATACCTCGTCGACAGTCTCGAGAGTCAGTTGAGGCTTGCTGCGCGAGGGAGAGCCATCCTCGCTGACGTCGCTGAAGCTCGACCGACGACCTTCAGAGCCGCTGCCGTTGCCGGACTTGTGGGAGAAGCGGACGCCGCGCTTTGGTCTAGTCATTGTTGGAGGATTTGTGTGTGTATTGGCGTGTAAAATAGGCCAGTCCGGAATTTGTAGGACGGAGACGCTCGATCGCTCTCGAGGGAAGACGGAGCGAGCGGTTGCTGTTTATTTTCTTGGGCGACTTTTGGGGGGGGGGGGGGACCTGGCGCGAAAACCCAGGCGGCAGCGACGATGATGCGGTTCAGCACAAGCTTTCAACGAGGCAGCAAAGCTTGGTTCGGCGACGACGGAAACAAGTGGCAACGCAGCTCCTTGGCGGCCACAAGGTCGAGTCCGGCGGGGAGGGGGGGAGGTGAGGCAAAGAAGGAGGTCGTCGAGGAGGAAAATGTCGATGCAAGAGGGCGGACGGGGAGGAGAGTTGTGACGTCGAGATATGGTGTTAATAAGCGCTGACCCGGGATTTTTTTTTCCCTCTCTCTAGATTAGCTTTGCCTCGTTCCCAGTTTTTTTTTTTTTCCCTTCGAGTTGGGGGAGTTTTCCAGAAGAGCTCAAGCCAAGGTTATTAAGGTTACTTTCGGGCTTGGGGGGGAAGAGGACGACGGCATGGCGGAGCAATCGGGTTGACTTTTTGCGGTGGAAGCGCCGGTGTAGCTTTTGCTGTTTAGTCAAGGTAGCATGGTGCTGTGGCTGGTGCAGGTGGGGGCATTGACGGGATTCCAGCAGGGTTGAGGTGTTGGAAATGCGCTGAAAGCTGGTTGAGTAGCTGTGGTTTAAAAAAGGTGGAGAGCATTGAGCCGAGGAACAAACGTGCACCTCTTCGTTTGATTGGGGCTGGAGCCGTGGCTGGGACCGGGGCTGGAGGTGGCTGGAGCTCGAAGCTTGCGACTTGTGAAGATGGGAGATGCAGGTTGCTGATGATGAACAGAGAACATGCGAAAGAAATGCAGTGAAGAAGAAGGGAAAGAGATCAAGGCCACACTTCAAGTCATGGTAATTCGCGGATTTTCGTTTACCATAAACGTCTTCAACTAACTATGCGCACACTCGTGCCGCTTATCTTACCTTGATACCTTGACCAATTTGGCCTGTGGAGTTGCCCAAAAGTCGCGCTGTGGCTTATTCGGCCTCAACAAGATTGGCTGGGTTAACAAAGAATCCATCACGACCACGGCGACATGGATTCCCCTCATTTAAATACAATACAGTTTATTCTCCGGTGTAGCAGTCGGACGTGGCAAGTGGCATGCGCGTGATCCAGTATGTGCTGGGCCGAGATGTAGATTGAGGGGTATTATAGCTTTCTCTCCCATCAACAGCACTGAGAAAGTAAGGTAGCGCTGTTACTACGCCAAAGCCACACCAAGCATGCTGTGATCCCCTGTCTCTCCCTGTAATCTCCTACTACCTGACAAACAAACAACAAGCAACATCTCGACTTCAACCCCGTGCCCATCAATTCCCCCTCTGCACACCAACCGTCAGCAGCACTAGACACCACGATATCCTGTGGCCTTGGACCCTCGAGCCTCTTACGAAGTAGTTACAGAGTACATGCATGGATCTTACACTGTGCGGCCGTTAAAACACCATCCACCCAACAATTCAACCAGTCACACACACACAACACGCTCATCGTCGCCGCTACTGCATAAGCCAAGCCTTGCTGCAAAGCCTAGTTACCCACACCACCTCTCAACTGACTGCCGCCAACGTCATTCGCTCACTCAATCGCAAGTAACACTATCTCGACTTTCTCTTACAAGCTCGTGATTACTTCCGACCGGTTGCAGCACCCCGGCATATAAATACATCCCACCCACCCACTACCACACCGTCGCCCTCCTTGCCCTCCTCCTCGCTTGATGCTGCCCATTCGCACCTTCGCTCGACCTCTGCGCTCGACCTTGACAAGGCAAACTTCCTTTGCGCATCGCCAGACCGTTGTTCTCCCCAGCCGCATCGCCGTCGCCGCCGCCACACGTCTCGCAAGCTCTTGCTGCAACGGCTCCCATCATTCTTACCCGCCTGCGACACCGAAAACCAAAATCATGGCTGGCGCTACCCCCAAGGAGGTTGAGCAGTACCTCAAGCAGTCCCACGACCGCATCTTTGAAAACAACCGCAAGTGGGCTGCTCAGAAGAAGGAGCAGGATCCGGGCTACTTTGTCAGCCTCAGCGCCGGCCAGTCCCCCAACTACCTTTGGATCGGATGCAGTGACTCTCGTATCCCCGCCGAGCAGATTACTGGTCTGGAGCCCGGCGAGACCTTTGTCCACCGCAATATTGCCAATCTCGTCGTCAACACCGATCTCAATGTCATGAGCGTCATTAACTATGCCGTCCGACATCTCGGCGTCAAGCACATTGTTGTCTGCGGCCACTACGGCTGCGGTGGTGTCAAAGCTGCCATGACTCCCAAAGACCTTGGAATTCTCAACCCTTGGCTTCGTAACATCCGCGACGTCTACCGTCTGCACGAGGAAGAGCTCGATGCCATTACCGATGAGGAGAAGCGTTATAACCGCCTCGTCGAACTGAACGTTGTCGAGCAGTGCCGCAACGTCATCAAGACAGCCGCCGTTCAGCAGTCCTACAAGAAGAACAGCTATCCCATCGTCCACGGCTGGGTCTTTGGTTTCAGTGACGGTCTCCTCACTGATCTCGAGATTAACTTTGAGGAGATGCTTGACAAGGTCCAGAAGATCTACAACCTTGCCGATGAGTAAGATCGCCACCAAACCTGGCCCACTCACAAGGAGTGAAGAAAAAATACAACAAAAAAACCAAATTTGCTCTGCGACGTTTGCATAGTACGGGAAAAGTGTTTTGGTGGTTGTAATACAGAGGAGTTTTCGGAGTACAGTCGGACGGGTCTGCCGTTGTCGCAGGTGTTGAAGCATGAAGCGGAATAAGCATAACCAGAGGAAGAGTTTGTACCTAAGTATTGCAGTAAGCATTTACCACTGCAATGTTTGCATCGCCACTAATCAACCTATAATTTCGTCGATGAGTACAAAAATTGTGAATGCGGCGTTGTGGCTGACCCTCGAAGCTAGCCTGATGACCACCCCCCCCACTAACAATGACGATTCGGAGGCCGAAAGCACAAGTTGCATTGCACTACTATTTCATGAAGCCGAAACAAAACAGCTTTATAGACCTGTACGTTTCGGCACAAATATAGGCGAGCGAAACATTTTGAGAGCTTTTATTGCTGAGTCTCTTCAGAGTACACCCTCCGAGTGCGGCGCAAATGGCTACACGTGACATCGCGACGCGTTAGAAGACCTACTCTGCCACTTGTCGCTACCAAAACGCGGTTTACGCGGTAGCTCTTACAAGGCCGACTCATCCTTGCAGCGGCGCACTATTTACGTCCCTAGCGACGGCCTAGATGGATCAATTTCGCTGGCCACTACTTTTCCAACATGGACCTGGATGAATTCTCCGACGACGGTCTCGACGATCTTCCCGAGAATGCTCTGCGCGAAATTGAAAATCAGGCCATCCAGCTCACGCAAGCGCAAGCACGGCTGCCCCAGGACCAGTCGAGGTCCTCAATCGACGCCCGAGCCCAACAATCCGATTACGGCTGGGAGGAAGACGATGACTTGGATACCGCTCAGGTTGTCAACGATGCCGGGGTGCCCATTAGTCGGCGGCCTGGCTTTCCCAAAACGCCTGCGCAGGTTCCCACCAACCCGCCACCGCGTCGAACCATACCACCGGTGCCTAATCCGCAATGGAATCCAACTCTGGCGCAGAGTGTCCGACCGACCGCGCCCATGACGCAACTACCTCCACGAGCAGGCATCGCCGCCGCCTCGCAGCGATTCAACCCCTCGCAGGCCACCGCAGCCGCCAGCCAGGCGCCGCTGCTGACGCAGACGCAGCCCGGCGACGTGCTGTCCGCGCTGCAAATTCGGATCCGGGCACTAGAGTACGATCTCAACGCTGCGCGCGGCGAGGCGTCTATTCTCCGCGCCAACTCGGTCAAGGCTCAGCGTGAGTTTGACGCTACCGTCTCGACGCTGAAGCGGGCCAACGCCGAGCAGCTCGACAAGCACAGCCGCGCGGTGGAGGCGGCGGCCGCAGCAGAGCGGTCGGCCAACACGGAGCTGCAATTTCTGCAGCAGGACATGAAGGAGATTAGCGACCGCGCACGGAGGAAAGATGTGGGCGGCGGCCCGGCCGGCAATCTGGCGACGACGCCGAAAAAGGCGGGCGGCAGGAGCTGGGGCTTGGCGGACGGGTTCGACGAGATGGAGGTGGCCGCGAGTCCGAGTAAGGGACGCGGGAGAGGACGGTCGGCTGGTTCTGTGGCTGCGAATGTGGGAGAGCGCACGCCGACAAAGGGCAAAAGGAAGCGACCGGTCTTTGACAGCCCTATAGCGGCTCTCGAGATTGATACCGCGGATACCATCATGACCGACGACAAGCCGGAGCTATTACAGCCTTCGCAGCACCACATTGCAGTTTCTCCGCCCGGCGCGCCGTACGAAGTTGGTTAAACTGTCTGACTTCTTAATTCATCAGAGTGCTAACACCATGCGCCGCAGTTCTTACAACTCATCTTAGATCATGGGAGCTTTCATCAACAACCACCTACTTTTGATATCCTATCTCGCTTTTCATTCCCATCCGACACAACATCGGCATCCCTAGCCTCCAAAATATTCGAACGACTTCCGCTCATGGGCAGTCCACACCGGTCCATGCAGCTGCAAGTTGACTTTGCTGAAATCGTTATTCTCCTGTGGAGTCGTTGCTTCGAAGAGCAATACTGGGCGCCCATCAAATACCTAATGCCGCTTCTTTCATTTACTTTTCAGCTTCATGTAACCTCGGTCGCCCCCCTCGTTGCTCGGAGCCTTGTGCCGATTGCGCAGTCAACTATTTGCCTCGTTGCCGACGCGCTGCAGTCACGCTTGCCGGACGGAAACTTGCCAAACCAGCAAGAATACAGATATTTCGAAGAACATATTGATACTTTGGAAGCAATGTCGCTTTTGCATATGTGCGCTCTTGCTTGCGCGACGTCGCACGACGGCGTACAAACTGGATCGGAGCATGGCCTTTCATCTTTTTGGAAGCTCATGTCTCTCGATATGGTGCTCATCCTGCTGTCGTCGAAGCAGCGATTTCACGACATTGTCAACATGCTAGACCTGCTGTCTACCTCTTCATTACCGGAATCGATAGGCCCCATCACAGATGTAAAAGACCCGGAGCTTGTTGCTCGCATCATCATTGACCACGTTTCAGCCAGGCTCATTGAGGGCCCGAGATCCCCTCACACACAATCCCAGAGAAAGACGATCCGGGCAACGGCCCTTCGCACCCTCATTGCTTTTGCTCGATACCCATTCGGCGCCTTGGAGCTTGCTAAACACGATAACGCCCTTCCCCGACTTATGACTTGCTTGAGCACTTCCATCGATGAACTCTACGACCAGCCCATCTCGTCTGCGCTGCTCCCCGAGCTACCTGAACTAGCAGAGGATGACGGCTACACCGATTTCATCTCGCACAATGCTGGCGCCGTGGGCGATGCGAGTTCAACGATGGAGCTGAGTCGTATCATCTCGCAATGCGTACTCCTCATCCATGCACTCGTCACGGATCCGCACACGGCCGACACGGCCGACATGAGCCGCAAGCTGTCCCTCTTTCACGGCGGCAGCCAGCGACAGCTCCTGGCGCTCGGCCGCCTAACGTTTGCGGAGGAGGACCTCGTCATGGAAGCTGCCATCGATAGCGAAATTGTGGAAGCGGCGCATGAGCTGCTGGAACTCGCCGTGTCGCCGGACGAAGGCGAAGTCGTGAGCGAGGCTTTCGGACCATGACGATACGGCGCATTATTCCACCACGAAAATACTACATAAGAATCTCTTTAAACACGCTTTGCTCAAGTCATTTCAGATAACAGCCAAAGGGGCATGACATGTCGATCAATATTGAGAGTACAGAAACTGTGCACCTGAATACAGGGAACATGAAACAAATATTATTATCACTGCCTCGATTCTCTGCGGCTCTACTGCATGGGTATGTACAACGACGAAGCTGCGAAGATTACGATGACGAGTGCCTCGAAAGCACATGGCGCGTTTCGCGCTCAAGAGTCAACGCCCAGCACACAAGCAAAGCCCATTTCGTTGACTGTTGCTGAAAAGAAACAAAAAGGAAACAAATCTTATGAGCTTTCTCGTATCACATTAATTCTTTCTCTTTCATTCGTTTTTTCGTCTGGTAGTTTAATGCTGCGGCACCCATTCAGGCCTTGGAAGCCATGGACTTGCGGATCGCCGCATTCGGGACTATCCAAGAGAGCCCCAAGTGAAAGGCGCCATTGGCCTGCAGACTGGCATCTTTGGTCCCCATGGCCATTTCCGTCAGGAAGCTGCCCAGCATGGACGTTGGCGAGTGGCTGTCGGGCAGCGCCGTCCGCACGACGGGACCCAGCACGGCCAGAGTCGCGCGGTAGAGCAGACCCGGATCCGGAATGTACGGCCTGATGGCGTCGTGCTGCGCGGCATCGACAAACGCGGGCCGGACGGCGTCGGCCTGCAGCGTGCCGCAGGACGCCGCGGTGAGGTCCGCCAGGCCCTGCTCCGTCTCGCCCTTGACGCGCGCAAAAGCGGCGGCGAAGCGCCCGGGCGTCTGCGTGGCGCCCTCGCCCGAGACGTAGACGAAGCGAAAGGGCCGCCGCGGCGCGCCGAACCCCGCAAAGACTGCGGCGGCGGCCAGCGCGTAGTCCTTTGTGATTTTCGTGTACTCGTCGCGGCTGACCTTTGTCTGGCTGATGCCCAGCGCCCACACGCAGCCCTGCGCGTCGCGGAGCTGCTCGAGGAGACTGGCGTCGTCGTATCGCGTAAAGTCGCGGTGGATGATGACGTGCACCTTGGGGCTCTTGGCGTCGTCGGCAAAGGGGATCGGCCGGCGGCTGAGGACGGAGATTTTGGTCACGGCTTGCGTCTTGATCATGGCGTCAAGCACAGAAGACCCGACGAGGCCGGTCGCGCCGGTGAGGATGAGATGCATGGCGTGGAGGGAAGGACGGGAGGGAAAAGCGAAGCTTGTGAAAACGGTGTGATGGGATATGGTGGTTTTCTTGATTGATGACCCATTGCTGACTTGACATCATGGTTTCCCGGATTGGCGTACTACGGATGAACTATAACACAGGTCGCCACTTGTCGCCGAAGCCTTGCCTAGATCGGGTTGGCCGGACCAGCCGCGGCGGAGCCCGCTGAACATGAAAGCTACTGGGCCGGAATTTTTTTTAACTTTTTTAGATCGCGCGGTACATGATAAGCGAGCACATGTGAAAATCAATTTGAAAATGCTGCTTTGCAAGTTTTGTCCAATCTACTCGAAGCTTTTTTCGTCATTTTCAAGTAGCGTTTGGCACAGTGACAAAACTTTAGTCAACTTTACTTAAACAGTTTCCTTGACATCCAGATATATATCGTCTATAGAGAAGAGGAAAGTACATGAAAACTCAAAGTTTCTAAAAACAGTGCTGAAATTTCATTTGACAACCGGTCGTTACGCTGCATTTCGTGTCCCCAAAATGTCGCCACTGTGCTGTGTTTCCTTGTCTATGGTGCTTTAGGCATGTGCAGCCCAGCACTAATGTACAAGTCTCTTTGACTCTTTGACTGCGTCGATCCCCCGGGGGGGGGGGGGGGGGGACCGGTAGAAATCATGAGCACTGAAATGCTGCGTTCTGAGACAAGACATGTCTGAAAAAAATCCGTCTCTTGTCTTCTTTATCATGTATGCACTCGCATTTGACGCTAGCTCGAAAAGCACAGTCATAGGCAAGTCTTGGTTGCCGTCGTTCCCTGTGCCGAACCGGGAATATTCCCATAGTAGCTGCTAGTGCTGCTGGCTGTATCGAAACAAATACTCCTCGAGCTGCCCTGAAGAAGGAAAGAAGAAAAGAAGGAAAGAAGAAAAAGAAAAAGAAAAGAAGAAGAAGAAGAAGAAGAAGGAGAAGAAAGAGCAGAAGCAAAGGAACCTCGTAAAGTAACTCTCATATATTACAAAAGCCAAAGATGAAGGAAGCTCATGGCCGCCGCGACTGCCATCTGAACACCCTGGTTGGGCATTAGCATCGCTGCTCCGGCCTTGGCGACGGCGGCATTCTGGCCCCAGATGACCTTTGGCGGTACTGCTTGGACTTGAATGTCATTGACAATGCTGTCCTTTTCCGGGCTGTACTGCTCAGGAGTGAATTTGCAAGTCTCCATGATGACATCCATATCTGCGAACCAATTGGTTAGCTGCGTTTTAAATGTAGCGGCGAGGGAGGTGAGTGAGGCGGAATCCATCAAAAGCAACCAAAATAACATAGAATCAAGATGGATACAAGAACATAATAGCATCATGCTATGGCGCAACTGCAGATGGTAACCCGCTTACCATTCTGTTGCTCCGAGGCCGTGGCGATGCAGCTTGAGCAGAGGGCAGCAACACGTGCCACATTGAAGCTCTTGTTCTCGCATACGCACTCCTCTTCACCATCTTTCATCGTCCACCCATCCTCATTCTTGTCAGGCTGTGCGCCACTGCTGTTGGTGTGATCATCGCCGTCATCGTCCCCATTGTCACCGTCTCCGTCGTCTCCCTCGTCACCGTCGTTCGAGGCATCCCCGGAGCTCCGCGGATGGCTCGAGGTCGTAGGCGAAACGCTCTCGCTTATCAGCTCCGTCATGGAGTGACTATCCTGTGGCACGTCTGACTCAGTTGACGTGCTTGTTGAGGGATGCTGCAGAGTCGGAGCCGAGGTGGCAACGGGTGGCGGAGGCGCCGACGAAGAAGAAGAAGATGATGGAGGAGGAGGAGATGGTGGTGGATGGGGTGGCGGCTCTTGTACGGGATATATTATTGTTGGCCGAATCTGTGTCAACTTTGATTGGCGCGGCGAATCCATAGTCCCTTGTTGTACGAGCAGCGATGGTGGGAATGATGTTGGCGCGGGCACAATCACGGTAAAGTTTCTCTTCCCAAGCTCGACTCCGTTCTTGGGTTGTCGCTGTGGCTTTTCTTTCCCGTCTGCTCCCGTATTCTGGTTCTCATTCGCCCTCTTCCGTCGGCTGTTCAAGAAGGAGGCCGAGTTCTCCTGACTGTTGCCGCCACTGCATACCGAAGTGAGCTCGACCATGGGGCCGCATATCGTAGCGCACTGTATCGGAATGCTCTCGGGCGGGAGCGCTTCCCCGAGCACGCCGGCAATTAGCACGCCGTTGGAGAGAATTAGTATTCCCGCATCCGTAGGCTTCATCTTTTCCCTCTCGCAGTTTGCACGCCGGGGCCTCTGCAAAAATCATGTAAAATGGGCGAGCACGAAAAGAGCGAAGCGTGCGTTGGCAGGGGGGCTAGAGAGGGTGTGTAAGTGAGGGAGAAAGCTCTCGAACCTCATGAAAACGGACAGCGCGGCCGGGAAAGGGGAATGGGCGGCTTTACAATGCGGAAGCGAACCAGTGGCAGGTTTGATGGACGGGTAATCGGGGGGAGTTTGCGCTCGAGGACGGCAAGGGTTCAGGGCAACGCTGGTCTGACAGGTAGCAACGTGAAACGGCTGGCTCAAACATGACCAAGCCAGGTACACACGCAGACCTCGACCATGATAAGCTGAGCGAGGGGCTAGATTCTTATGAAAGTCGTTTCTTCACTGATATTCGAAGCATAGTTTTATGTTTTTTATCTTCTAGGTGTTTTATACAAAGTTTATCTAGATGCCTTTGTAAATTCACAGCGTCATGGGTCGGTGAGGTTGCGAGGGTGCGAGCAACATGGTCAAGCGTTGGAACACAGAATGGCTGCGAGGGCCGCCGCTCTTTCACACCCGACATAATTTATTCATGACATGTCTTGAGGAAAAAAAATATGGGCTATGACGCTTTTCAACAGGGCAAGAAAAGCCAAGAGAACAAGCTTTCTCTTCTTCGGCCTTGCCGATGAAACACGAACACCACATCTACTGGCGACGTGGCACAAATCTGGGCAAACAATGAGCGCCAGGGCAAGCGGGTGGTTGTTGCGCGACGGCGACGAAATTTCCAACGGCATAGAAACTCAGAAACTTCCGCTTTGCCGCTCAAAATTTCCCCGGACAAAGTCAATGACGGACTCGGAAGCCCTCATCACCTCCCTCACCTTGGCCGTTGCAGGGATGCGGGAGTCGCTCATTTGAAACGCCGTCTGCGACGCGAGCGGTATCCCCCCCCCCACTCCAAGGACATTCTGTGCCTGTTTGATGAGCGGGAAAAAAAGATAAAGGGGGGGAAAGCGGAATTGGTGGACGGTAGAAACAGCATTGATAACGCGAGTCACAGAAAAAGAGCCCGATGATTCATTCACAATGAGCCGGGCGGGTAAGTAAGTGGTGGGAAGCGATAATGGCGGCCGCGTGGGCCCCCCGGCGCCGCTCCGCCATGAGCCGGAGCTGGGTCCGGCGATGAGACCGCGCGGTATATCTACACAATGTGGTATGGAACTTGGCGTCAGGTTTTTTTTTTTAAAAAAAAAGCAAGGGCGAGGACCCGTGAGAAAGAGACCAATATGAGGAGGATTCTAATTCGATGAGTCTAAAGCCGAAAAACTAACCCAATGTTTTGCTCCAGAGATTAGTTTTGCCCGCTAGCTAGCATGATTACGCTATACAAAAAACACTACACGCTGATTATTAGCGAAACTGAGTTTTGCTGTGTCGCCAAGCCTTTTACGTTGCAGAAACTACTACAACGTACTAAAACTCAAACACATTTGCAGAACAGGGAGACAATTCGTCCATGATTGACATGTTCTTGAGCAGGTCAATTTTGTCTAATTTTTCGTGAGCCGACGTCAGCGTACGGATGGAATTCTTGCTCTTACTTTCCGTCTCTGTGGTCAGCGCCCAAAGCAATTTTCCCTTTTGGGCGTTATGCCACGAAAAGGTGGAGACCGGATCGCTAGCGTATTTCTTTTCTTTTTCTTTTCTTTCTTCTTTAATATAAGACAATGTTCCTTGTCCATCTAGATAATGGTCGCTGTCCATCTCCTCGCACAGCTGTTCTATATAGCTTCATATGGTAGGGCTAAATGTCTTGGTGTGAAGGACGACCAAGTTTTTATGCATCTTTGTTCTCAAGGGAGACAAATCTTTTTCTCTTTCTTCAAAGGGTTTTGGCGCAAGACAACTAATAGGGTCACCAACTAATAGTTAGCAGAGTCGGCACAGGCTGCCGTAGTGCGCAAGCCATCCCAAGGTTTTCTCAGTTAGTGCCAACGCCACCGGCACAGCAGTTCCATTCAGCTGCCTAACTAGTTCTTCCATATCGGGCGTTATGTCGCGAAAGGCCCCAACGGGCGATGCGATTTCGCCCTGCTGCTCGCGGAGAGACGTAGACTCGGAAAGACTCGATCCTCTTCACATCCATCTATTTTGGGTAAAATGCAGCGAGGTATCGATTGCCAAATATATATATATATTAATGTAGTCAAAAAATCTCGTCCCCGTCTTTGCTCAGGGCGAACAAACTCGCCTCCGATCCTTACCAATACACTCCAGCCTATAAGCCAAGTACAGCGACACAAATCCAGCATCATGCCCAACGCGCACACTTCGGTGGCCATTGCTCAGGTCGTCTTTTACGCGCCCATGGTGCCGCTTGTCGTGTACCTATTTTCGCGCAATGCCCGAATTCGTCCACGCATGGCCTGGTGGCCGCTGATACCCTTTAGCTTGTGTATGTTTTTTGCCTTGTCTCGAATAACACCAAAGTAAGAGAGAAAACAAAAAGCTCACGCAAAGACTTGTTCACAGTCCGCCTTGCTGGAGGCATCGTCACCATCATTGCCGAGAAGCAGCCCAGCAACACGGGTCTCTGGATCGCAGCGCTAATTCTTCTCAACGTCGGCGTCGTCCCGCTCATAGTCGCCAACCTCGGCCTCACTCGCTTAATGTACGTTTACACGAGAAGGAAAACAAGAAGAGAGAAGAAAAGAAAAATGAGTGAGATAAAGGTTTCAAAAGTACTGACGACAAGCAGCAGACAGGATAACCATGCCTCCAAGCCCACCTACACCCACCTCGCCAAGGCTCTCCGCCTCCTCTTCCTCCTCGCCATCCTGCTCCTAGCCGGCGGCAGCGGCACCGCCTCCGTCAACGCTCATCTCAGCCGCGCCCTCACCCTCGCCGGCTACGTCGTCTTTGCCCTCGAGCTGCTGCTGCTGACCGCGACGCAGCTCTGGTGGTTCTTTTGCTTTTACTCGCCACCGCGGCACCGCGGCACCGCCCCGGCGGCGACGGCGGCGACGGCGCTGCTTCCGAGCAGCCGGCGGGTGCTGGTCGCGACGCTGGCCGCGTTTCCGCTTCTGGCGGTGCGCACCGCCTACGGCTTGCTCGAGGTCGCGCGGCAGGACGAGCCGGGCAGCGCGTGGAACCCGCTGACGGGGTCGGCGGTGGCGTTTGCGCTGATGGCGCTGCTGCCAGAGTATGCGGTGCTCGCGGGCTGGGTGTTCGTGGGGTACGCGATACCGGCGCGGCGCGAGGTCGGCGGCGGGATGGAGGGGGAGGACGACGGGCCGAACAAGGTCCAAGGGCGCGGGGGGGTAAAGGATGGAAAAAGAGGGAGGTTGTCGTGTTGAATGACTTTGATACCGTGGGCGGTATCTTGCTTAATGCCGTACATGATTCGAATCATGTATGCAGATTCTCTTGCACTCGAGCTGATTCAGTTCATTTCTTGCCCACATATCACTGAGCAGACGACAGACATGCACAAACTTGACGAGAAGAAATTCTGGATTTGTTTTCAAAGAGAAATCTCGCCTAATCTACAATTATTGGCAGGCCCTGCCATGCCTTTGAGACTCCGATTGCGTATGCAACAAACATTGTCACTCCGCGTGACGGGAAACAATATAAACAAGTCTGTACCGCTCAATGCATCTATAATAAAAGAAAAGGGGAGCATGATAAGAAATAAAATCCGTCCATCATCCCCGTTTTCATTAGAACCGGTGTTGACGACCAACGCTCTCAACACGGACCCCAAGCTTGACCATTTCGCGCGAGTCAATGACACCACGGCCATCAAACACCCAGCGGGGAATCGTCATCGAGTCAGCAATGCGCTCCCAGTCAAGACGCTCCTTGGACTTGTACTCCTCAGCGCTGCCCATGCCAGTGGCATGGCCAGTCAACTTGGTCTCCTGCTCCTGCTGGCAATCGGGACAGGCGCTGTCGCACGAGGGCTCAGTGTTGAAGCGGTTGAGCGGATCGTGTCCCTGTCCATTCTCGCGCTGAGCGAGGTGCTTGTGGAGCGCCAGGATATCATTTTCAGAAGGCGTGTTGGACTTGAAGGGACGGGGATCCGATTTGGGGTTGGGCTTGCCACCAATTGTCTTGGGCGCAGCATCGGCCGAGGGCGCGGCGGGCTTGGGCACAGGCTGATTGCGGAACTCGTCGAATTCGGTGGCAATGACGACGGCAGTGGCATCGTCGCAGGCGTCATAGGCGTTGCCGTAGACGGAAATGTTGTTGCTCTCGGCCAGAGGCCCGAGCAGGGAACGGATTTCGTTCTTGATGACTAGCGGGTTGCAGCAAGGATCGAAAACGGCAATCTCGCGTGGACGCTCCTCGAGCAGGGTCTTGATCATCTCCAGAGCAGGAGCCTCACGGGTGTCGGAAGTGTTCTTCTTGAAGGCGTAGCCGAGAATGCAGACCTTTTTGCCAACCAAGGTGTTGTTGAGACACTTGATGACGCGGTTGGTGAAGCGGTCGCGGGCGTACTCGTTCATCTTGACAACTTGGCGCCAGTACTCGCCGACCTCAGGGAGACCCATAGTGTCGGCAAGGTAGACGAGGTTGAGAACATCCTTCTTGAAGCAGCTGCCACCAAAACCAATACCAGCGACGAGGAACTTGTTGCCGATACGGGGGTCCACACCAACAGCGCGGGCGACCTCGTCGACGTCGGCGCCAGTCTGCTCGCAGACAGCAGAAATGGAGTTTATGCTGGAAATTCGTTGGGCCAGCATGGAATTGGCAACGAGCTTGGCCAGCTCAGAGGACCAGACGTTGGTAGTCAGGATGCGCTCGCGGGGGACCCAGGCAGCGTAGACGTTGACGAGAGCCTCGGCGGCCAGCTTACCAGTGGCAGTAGGGGCGGAGCCGATGAGGATACGGTCGGGATAGAGCAGATCGTTGACGGCGGTGCCGGCAGCGAGGAATTCGGGGTTGGAGAGAATCTCGAAATGGACGCCAGGGCGGTGCATGGAGATCTAGTGAGCGTGTTAGTGCCAATTGACTTGCACGGGGGGTTTTCCCATGGAAGGAACGAACAGTCTCGGCAACGAGCTGGGCCGTGCGGCAAGGAACGGTGCTCTTCTCGACGATGATGGCACCCTCGCGGGCGTTTTGGGCGACGACGGCAGTGACGGCCTCGAAAGCAGTCATGTCGGTGGCGCTGCCAGCACCGATGCCGCGCTCCTTGGTGGGTGTGTTGACCGAGATGAGGACAACATCGGCTTCGGCGATGCTACCGGCCACATCAGTGGTGAAGAAGAGGTTGCTCTGACGGGGAGCGACACGGAGGTCGCCAAAGTCGGAGTTGACGGTGTCGGCGTCGCTGGTGGCCTCGTTGGAGAAGAAGGTCTCGCGACTGCCGTCGCGGGCGATGCGAACAATGTCATGCAGGCCGGGTTCGTAAATGGGCGGGTGTCTCGAATTCCAGCGACGGATTCGGGTCTGGTCACGGTCGACGACGGTGACCGTGATGTGAGGGTTCTGGAAGGCGAGAACTGCCGCGGTAGGACCGCCTGTGAAGAAGGTGTTAGATGAATAATGTGCGTTTGCAGGATGAGGTGCTGTGGGGCGGAGCCGTGGCGGCATAGCGACATACCGACATAACCAGCACCAACGCAGCAGATGTTTCGAACGGTAAATTCCGGGTATTTGGAGGCATTGGTGCCGTTTGCCGAGCTGTTGAGGCTCAAGGCCTTGACCGAGTCGACGATGGGTGAGGACATGGTGATGGCAGGGGCCCTTCTGGGTGTGTTAGTGAGGGCTGGGGCTAGTGCTGCCGAGCTGCTGTATAGATTGTCTTGGATGGACGCGGTGATGCTCGCACGTAGGCTAAATCAAAACGCAAAAGAAAATCGGGCAAAAGAGGAATAGTTTCACAAGTCATGTAAGAGTGGAATTAGAAACTCAAACAAGAAGAAAAACAAAAGAAGAAGCGGAAAGTCGGAAGGTTAAAAGGGACTTGCTGGATCGGCCACGGACACAATACGGAGAGGAAAGATGGCGTGCAAGGAAGTGGTGGCCCCGGTACCGTGCGCTCCCTCGACACACGCCCCCAATGGTTGTAAGTGCTAGGCCAATTCGGCCGGGTAAAAGACCAAAAAGGAAGCTAGAAAAACAAAATTAATTAAAAAAAAATACAAAAGAGTCACTGTCAACTTTGCAGCTAGGGCCACACTCTCGCGGCGCAAAAGACGCCTGTCAGGGGGGCAACTGATAAACGTGGGTGAGGCGCTTGGCGCTGGAGGTGGTCCAATGATGGGGGTGGGGAAAGTACCCAGCACGGGTTGTGAGTGCGGGATGCGCTGTACTACAGGCAACATGACACTACCTTACCTACTGCAACGTGCTCATTACAGCGGGGTTTGCCCTGTACTGGCGCCCCAACTCCTAACATTCTTGATACAACCAACACCTCACCAATACCTCCATTAACAAAGGCGGTCATGGGCAGGCACAATCCTTGGCTTCACACTGCCTCGACAACAAGAATTCTGCGGAAAACTAAATAGTAGCTGTTAGCGGACTTTACAACTCTATTCCGACGGTCAAATTTTAACTGGACCGTGGCTGACTTGAATTCCTTGGTTGGCAGCTATACAAGACTTGGCGCAGACTAAGGTATCTGTTGACCTCCTGTAAAACAGTGGACTGCCACAAGATATAGCGCTATTCCACCTTGTAGCACCCCTGTGGCCATGCTGCTACTGGTGATTCCCAGCATCAATGTAGGCATTCGCTTCGTTGGTGATTCTAGCTTGGGCCCACTGCACCATGACCAAGCTGCCTCAAGTGCCACATTGTTCGTCACAGCGCAAACTTGCCAAGACTGGATTCAATGCGTGCGACAACTTACACTCTTCTCCTACTCATCCCATCACTCCCTCTAGTCCCTCTCGGCCCCCTTATCTACACACATATCCAGTTATGCCTGCGCTCCCCTGACTAGCTTGCCATTCTCGAGCGCGTCGGCGCCGATGCTTTGGTCCAGCTTTTTGTGGCGTTTGCCAAATCTACACCGTGACGACAGCATCTTACGCGGACTCGAGAAACTCTCGAACGCACATCGACTCCAGCGGCACTTTTCTGCCGATCCAGCTGAATCCATACCACGGATGGTTGCACAAGTCCCGGACGCTATCCCGGGTCATACGACACCGCAAATTACGACAAGATTGCTAAACCCGGGCGCACGCACAACGGTACCGGCCACGCGCGAGCAAACTTTGCTGCCCCCTCCATATAAACATGCAACGGGTATGGCGCAATATCAAAATGCAGCCTCTGGATAGGAGGAGAGAAAACAAAAGACCGCTTTTGAATGAAGCCACACGCAGCCAAGCAATTCCTAATGCACACCTATCAGTAGATACCAACACCCTACAGATACTGGGGATGCTTCTTGGCTCTGCTTGGCACGCGACACGCTGGTGCGGCGGACGCCAAGGGGAATAACGGGGGGAAATGAAAAGCTTGCCGGAAACTACTAGAAAAGCAAAGCGCCGAGCCACCAGCTCAAGTCGTTTCCTGTCGAGGCAGGACTGGCCGCCATGTCTGCATATCAACTCACCGTCTGGATTGCGCAACAATGAGCAGGCTGGGCACTTCTTCACGACCGCATATTGACCTCTTCCTTTTCATCACACGAGCAATATACATGTTTAGCTCTGGCAGGGTATTTGTTTCAACAATAAGCTTAGTTACAGAGAGGTGGGTGGTCGGGGCCGAAACCTGGTTATTAGCGCACGGATGCCTCGGATTGGTGGTCAGGAAAGCGGACATTGTGTGCCATGCAGATGAATCGAGAGAATCGTCAAACACGAAACAGAGAAGGACTTTTCGCTGCGCATCCCAATGACCTCTTTGCCTCTGTCTAAGAGTGCAAGGTCGTCAGGCTCTTTCGTTGACTCGAGAGGCAAGACATCACAACAACAACAACACCCACAACGTCAACTCTCCAACTTATGCTAATCTGTACGGCAGGTTCTTGGCCACTTCTCAACAACGGTATCGGGCAATAAACTCAACACTGCGTTTATTTGGGTATAAAATTAGGCCCTGCGCTAGCAACAAGCAGTTAGCGTTGCATATGGGGCTCTGCAAGCTGCACACAATCGCCAACACGCTTCTGCCCTCGGCTTTTTGATTACGAATACAGGCCTTGCTCTCCTACCCAACAGATAGATTGGCCGCTAGGTACAGGCTGTGTGCAGTGCGTAGCCTGGTGTTGTGTGAGCTGAACGAACGACAGCCATACTCGGCAAAAAATAAGCAGTCCCTCGACTGCCGATCAGACCCTGCCTGCGTCGTCGTTCACACTGGGTGGTTCTGCGTTTGTTAGCTCGACAGCACCCCATGCCCCGATAATAGTGGCACATTCTATAATATTCGGCAATCGCCCAGTAATAGTACCTGTTTCAGCTTGCCGCCTATTCCCGACACGACCCGGTCGAATTTGTGCCCTGCCGCGGCTGGAGGCCACACGAACGAGGTCAAAGTATGAGGACACTCGAGAGACGGTGCTTTTTGGCACCGAATGAAAACAAACAATTTCCATTTCCCTCTGCCGTCATCACGAGCCTCTGTCATTGTCACGAGCGCACTTGGCTGCGCCTGCATCAACTCTGCGCGCATCGCGCCTTCGGGCCAACCAGCGCGCCCACGGGGTCTCGAGCCGGCTTGCTCATTCGCGCGAGCATGTCCCAGCCTTTTAGACCGTGTTGTTGGGACTGCGACTGTAGTGATGCACTGGTGATGACGGCACTGCAGCCTGTTATTGGCCGCAATGGAGAATGTGGTTTCAGTCTGTTCTGTGATTGGTGGATCGTGATGCAGGCACCCGATTACGGCAATTCGACGATGGTGCGGGTACAGAGGCACCATCACCCTTGACCAGATGTTTGTGGCAACCAAGATGAAGAAGACTCATGTTCCAGTTGGCCAAGATGCAGCATCCGCAAAGAAAAGACGAGCGATCGGAGACTCATACGACATGTTGCCATTGTTTCGCCGACAAAGCTATGCATATAATATACCCTATGCGGCGATTCAGGCTACGCATGACTCGACAACATTCAACATGGGGCCTTGTATTCCGATTCAGAATCGGATCTAATCCGTATATCTGCAGCAATTGCAGCCCTGGCCCGCTGGCCTCCAAGGTGCAAGTCCCCCCTCTGCCTGCGCCCCGCCTCCAGCAGCCCACTCAGGCAGACTGCCGCGATGCCCGTGGGCCTTCTCGCACTCGCTATTGATACAGATTGAATTAAGCCATGATGGCTAGACCAGGATGTGGCAAGCACATGACAAGGCTGTCCGTTCTGGTCCCCTTTGGTCCTCTTGCTGTGTGTGTTTACGTTCACAAAAGCGCCCTACCTACTTTCGGTAACCACACCCATATTTGCCCCAACAAGTTTTGCATTTTATTTTGCCTTGCTCGATGGAAGCTAGAAGCTTTCCGTTTGAGGGGAAATATCGGCGCGTCACAACCACACGTGCAGCGATCCTGCCTCACGATGAACTCTCACATGGCGGGGGGCCGTCACCTTCACGGACAAAGAGCTATCGCGCCGTATCTCTGGCCGCCCACTGCCATGTACATATCTATCTAGTCATGTGTTGACCGGCTATGCTAACCAGAGCATCTTGTCTGACTTGCTGCATCCAATTTTCTCCTCTGTAAACCTTTGTCTTTAACGTTTACAGTCGTTTTCGCAAGTGCCTTGTACTTGCACGAGACTATTGTCGCAAGGCATACACGCCGTCCTTCTCTACCACCCCGCGGCTGCTTGGCCCTGCTCGCAGATGGCCTCGTCTACCACCACCGGCCGGTACCCCGACCATGACTTGTCGCAGTTTCCCAGCCAGCTCCGCGGCAAGCGCATTCTGCTGTGCACCGAGTCTTTTGGTCCTGTCAATGGTGTTAGCCGGACGACGCTGATGCTGGTGACGCACTTGCGCAACCACGGCGCGCAAGTGGCCGTTGTCGCGCCGCATAACCATACCAACCACAACACCTTTTCGCCGCCGCCGTCGCCGAGCCTCTCGCCGCTCGACAAGCAGCCCGAGGTGCGCCTGACGGGCTACCCGCTGCCCTTTAATCCGGAGCTGTCCGTCGTCTACCCCGTCCGGAACTCGACCCTCTATGCCCGCACATTTGGCGCTGACGCCCTACCCGACATCATCTACCTCGCCTCGCCCGCCAGCCTCGGCTTCCAGGTCATGCTGCAATTGCGCCAGCAGCCCCGCGCCCAGCAGATTCCCGTTCTCTGCAACTTTCAGACGGACCTGGCCGGTTACTGCGACATCCTCTTCCCGGCCCCGCTGAGCCACGCCGCCGTCTTTGCGTTTGACGCCGTCCAGAGCTACCTTTTCCGCCACGCCTCCATCAAGACCATCTTTTACCCCTCGCGGTTCGTCAAGCGCTACCTGGTCAAGCAAAGCGTCCAGGCGGACAAGCTCGAGCTCCTGACCCGCGGCGTCAACGCTGAGCTCTTCAACCCGATCCGCCGCAGTGAGCAGCTCCGCAAAGAGCTGGCGCCTAATGGAGAGATAATCTTTGTCACCATCTGCCGCATCGCCGGCGAAAAGGGTTTCGACTTCCTAGCCAAGGCGGCCAAGGAGATGGACGCACGTGGCCTGCCTTACAAGATGGTCATTGTTGGTGGCAACCGCAACCCCGACGTCGAGAAGGAGGTCCAGGAGATGTTTGACCCCCTCGTCGACGAGGGCAAGGTGCTCTTCACCGGCTTCAAGGTGGGCGAGGAGCTCGCCGCCTACTACGCCAGCGCCGATGTCTTTTTGCACTGCTCCGTCACCGAGACGTTTGGTCTCGTGGTGCTCGAGTCCATGGCCAGCGGCGTTCCCGTCGTCGCCCGCGACGAAGGCGGCCCCTCGGATATCATCGCGCACGGCGACACGGGTTTCCTCGTTCCGCCCAACGATGTAGAGGGCTTCATCGCCAAGGCCACCAAGCTGGCGTCGGACAAGATGGTCCGCGCCCGCATGGGTGAGGCCGCCCGCGCCGCCGCTTGCGAGTGCACATGGGACAAGATCAACAACAAGGTCGCCTGGCGCATGGTCGACACGATTGCTGAGCGTGCAGAGGAAATGTCGCGGGCCAGTCCCGAGACGTCGTCGCGCACGCTGTCGCAGGATGCTCAGCAGCTGGTGCCCCTCTATGGCTGGCTCATGATGAACAATGCCATGCGCGAGGCCATTGTCGGCCGCATTGTCGACGCTCGTCTTGTTGGCGGACTGGGAATCATTGTTTCATTCTGGGTTATTACTGGGGCTTACATGATGTTTATCGAGTCCATCATGTGGGCCAAGAACCGCCTCAGAGGCGAGCGTCGCTTGAGCGTCTCTGCATGATTGCCACTGCTGGTTTCTCTCTCTCTCTATATATATTTTAGCCTGTTCATTTCACAAGTTGGCGAATGGGGCTATTCCTCAGCTGGTCTTTTCTATCTGTGATGAGCTTTTGCGTGGCGCAGACTGAACATGACTCGGCTGCATGCTCTGGTTTGGCAATAACTCATTTTACTTATCCCTTTTTTCCCCCCCGTTTTGTTTATCCCTTTATTCACTCATCTCTTTTGTGATACGGAATGCAAAATAGCTGATATGACATGGTTAACGAAATAATGCACGAATCGATTCTTGAAGTTGTCCCCCGAGAGTGACACATGATAGTCGCGGATATACCCAGATTGGATAGTCTAAATGAATCTATATTGAATTGCCTAGATGCGACCGTAGTGAATGTTGTGAATCCAGCGCTGCCGATTTCTTGGTCTACAATGTCGACGATAGGATACCAAGTTGAAAGAGTGAAAGAGTGAAAAATAGAAATTATTTCCCATGAGATTGAGCAGCTCAAAGAACCAGCTTTATTTGGCAGCCCAATCCACCTCACGCGCCCCCGCTGACTCTTTTTAAAACGACTTGACTCCCCGCCCTCGACCTCCGCCGGCAGCGGCGCCCTTGCGCTCCCTGTACATTGCCGCGTACTGGACGCGCTCAAAGGTGCCCAAGCCGTAGGCGGCCAGGCCGAGGGCCAGCCAGATGGAGGTGATGATGAGGCCGATGGGCAGAATCATGAGCTGGACGCCGGGCAGGACAAAGGCGGCGGTGCCGTTGTGCAGGGCGGCGAGGGCGTCGTCGACGGCGGCCTGGGCGGCGGAAAAGTCGGACTGGACAATGTCGCGCGAGAAGACGCCGTTGACAAAGGTGGCCTCGTTGAGGCTGACGTTTGTGGCGAGCCGGACGCCGCTGCTGTTGGTGGCGGCGAGGGTGAGGGTTGGCATGACGAGCGACTGAAGCGCGGCCCTGTTTGTGTTTTAAAAAAAAAGCATTGTCAGGTCAGAGGTTCAAATCATGTCATGTGAGAAAGGGGATAGGTGATTGGGGAGTATGGGGGGGGTTTGGGTAGCGTACATGGACATTTGATCCAACATTTCCTTGTTATCAATCTGGCCCACGAGCATGTACGCATGAAGCAGCTGCGGGTTGTGATCCTCGCGGCTCTCGAGACCGCCGACGGACCTCTGCACTACCGACTTTGCGCCGCCCTGCAATCCCTTTCCATTCACAGCCTCAGGGCTCACGGGGCTCGCGCTGGCGCCGCTATACGACACGCTGACCTTGATGTCGGCGGGTGCGATGCCGGCCCAGCCGTCGCGGGGATCCGAGACCTTGTAGAGACGCAGCTCGGCGCCAAAGACGCCGGTGCGGGCGTCGAGAGACGGCAAGTTGTAGCAGATGCAGTTGCCCGAGGGGTTCGTGGCGCGCGTGATGGCGCGCAGGGCGTCGACGCAGGCGGCGTCGGTGTCTTTGTTCCACGCCGTGAGGTTGAGGGAGCCGTCGGGCTGGAGCTGGATGCCGTCATTCCTCGTGGTGGCATCGTTGTTGGTGTTGTTGTTTGCGTCGCCGACTTGTGGCTGCTGCTGGCGGCGGCCAAGGACGGGCTTGGGCGTGAGGGAGAGGTAGGGCGTCGAGAGAACGTCTTGGGCGCGGACGAGGATGGAGTCGGCGGCGAGGGCGAGGCTCGCGGAGGCGGTCCGGGCGGCCAGCAGGTAGGCCGCCATGAGCGAGACGCGGAGGGCCATGGGGTTTTTCGTTTCTGCGGCTTGTCGACGGCGAACACACGGGCGTAAGGAGAGAATTTGACTGGAACGCCCGAGCGGCTCGGTCTTTGCTTATACGGAATCGACTTGACGGGATCCTTTATAAATTGACGAGATCCTTTATAAATTGACGAGGCCGAATGACAGGTACGACGGGTCCGTCCTTTCCGCCAAGATGGATTAATTAAAGAATAAATTGGAGATGTGGAATGAATTATCAAGCCTATTGAACTGCGCAGCAGCTCTTCAGCCGGGAATAACAGGCGGAAAGGAAAAGAAAAGAAAAGGGAAAAACAGAAACAAAAAAGCAAGCGATGATTTGCAAGAAAGAGAGAGAGAGTTACCAACTACCAACAACAAGAACAAGACAAAGCCCTAGAGCGAACAAGAAACGAGAGCCAGACAAGGAGCAGAAACAAACAGGAGAAGAAACAGGAGAAGCAAAGGGAGAGAGGGAAAATTTTTTTTTAAGCAAGACCTGGCCAGACTTTGCCGGGTCTGATACCAGTCTTGTTTCCTCGCGAGGGCAAGATTCGGCATCCTGCTACAAGGCCATCGTCGGTATGAGACAAGGCCGGCGTGGACTACGTCGGGGGTCTTGCTTCGGGCTTGGTTTACCATTGTTACGGAACCGAATAAGTTACTAGTTAGCTGCGCCCATCTTGGCAGGGCATCATTTCGTTGTGGAATGAGCCAAGTTGTAGGCCACTTCTTCTCTTTTTGCCCTTTTTTTCTTTCTTCTCGCCCTCGTAATCTCTCACCACGCGAGGGTGTGAATTGGCAGATGTCACTTGTGTGTGTACAAAGTAGGTCGCGGGACCGCCGATGAGCGTTTGATCTTGAAAAAAAAAAAAAGTCGTGGATACAAAGTGACCGACTAATAAGGGGTCAAACTGGAGACGCGGCATGTTACCGGGCCAGTTTCACGGTGCGACGGCCAAGTGGAGGACTCCCTGGCCGAGTCGCCAACAGCCACTATTTAGTATTTACCAGTACGTACGTATTCAATGATCTCTTTAGAAGAGGGTGGTTTTTTCTCTCTCATCATGTTAATTCAGAGGTTTCGGCTTTTTAGTGTCTACCAGTCTACTCTATCAGTAGTTTCCTATCCTCTTTGCGCTGTTCGTCGTGAGGCTTATCAAAACTGCTAGCTCCACAGGCGGTGAGTTTTTCATTTAAAAATCACTACTAAAGATTTTTCTTTGACTTGCATATATTGTGACTATTGTCTCAGGTCACACTATATCACAGTCGTCGTGCTATATTGCAATTACCTGATTCATCAACTTTTCAGAGCCGTGCATCCGAACTGTCATCCGTCATCAGCCCACTCTCCTCTTTATACGGGTTTAGAATCAATCTGAGACGTAGCAACATTGGCACACGGCAAAGGCCAACAATCAATCGCCCCTTTACCTTTTGCCTTTTGGCTTCTCTAACCCTCTTGTCCGAGTCATGCTTGAAGTATTCATTGGCTCATCGGCCCTCGACTTCTCCTCCCGGAGATCAAAGTCTTGATTGGCCCGATCGACCGTCGCTTCTATTATTTCCTCTTGTCCGAGTCTCTCGCTAGCTTCTATTGGCAACTGGCTAGCTGATGATGGCTGGCTGCATCGGCGCCCGACAGGGTTCCCCGCGTTGTACGCGCACAACCACTCACAGCATGCCCAGCTAGAGCCTTGTTTGATCTGAATGCTGCCAACATCATGACTGAAATCACCCGTTAAAACGAGGAACATGCGGCAGTATAATAAGATTTTTTTTTTCGCAGTATGGAGATTGCACATGATGGACATTTCATGTGCGGAGACTGCGCTGATCACAAGGCGATAACGTAGGTAGGTACATACGCGGCGCGAAAGCTTATCGCAACTTGAACAAGCGCCAAGACGCTGCCACGCAGCTGTTCGCTACCCAATCTGACCTCTGATAAACCTAGTGTGCATTCAATACTGTTATCAATGATGCAGGTCTTGGCCGCTCATATGCGGGGTAAAATACTTGCAATACAAAGGTTGTGCAGCGATAGCTGCCTCGACTCCCCCGCACGAGGCGTCCTTGGACTAAACTATATAACTCTGCACGTAGCTCGAATGGTTAAAACTCAAATTCCGATTTCGTAGCATTGAAATTATTCCAATAAAAAGTTGCGTCTATAGTCTCACTCCTTGCTTAAACATTGTCGACATGCCAGTCAAGATCCGTACTGCCCAGTCCGTCTCCCTTGACGTGCCCGCGGAACAGCAGCCCTATCTGCACAATCGCTGGCATCCAGATGGTAAGTCGCTTGACTTCTCCCGACAAAGACTAAATTCCCAAAAAAGCTTATACCCACCTTCTTTTTAGTCCCCAGCATTGGCACGATTGAGCCAGGTGAGACGGTCAAGATTGAATGTCTCGACTGGACCGGCGGCCAAATCGGCAACAACGACAGCGCCAACGACGTGCGCGACGTCGAGCTCAACAAGTGCCACTATCTGACCGGGCCCTTTGACATTAACGGCGCCGAGCCGGGCGACCTGCTCGTCGTCAACATCACCGACATTCAGCCCTTTGACGATGCCCCCTGGGGCTTCACCGGCATCTTTGACCGCGACAACGGCGGCGGCTTCCTCGACGAGCACTACCCGCGCGCCGCCAAGGCCATCTGGGACTTTGACGGCATCTACTGCTCCAGCCGCCACATTCCCGGCGTGCGATTTCCGGGCCTGATCCACCCGGGCATCCTCGGCTGCGCGCCCTCCCCCGAGCTCCTCGCCGAGTGGAACCGCCGCGAGGCCGGCCTCGTCCAAGCCGGCGCCACCACCCACCCGGGCAAGACGCTCGCGCACCTGCCCGACGAAAAGTACGCGCATGCGGGGCAAGCCGAGGGGGGTCTCCGGGAGCGCATCAGAAAGGAGGGCGCGCGCACGGTGCCGGGACGCCCCGAGCACGGCGGCAACGTCGACATTTGCAACATTTCGCGCGGCTCCAAGACGTACCTGCCCGTGCACGTGGCCGGCGCCAAGTTTTCCGTCGGCGACTTGCACTTTAGCCAGGGCGACGGCGAGATTAGCTTTTGCGGCGCCATTGAAATGGCCGGCGTCATCAGCGTCAAGTTTGGCCTCATCAAGAACGGCGTCCGGTCGCGGAGCGTCCCGCACCCGGTCTTCCTCCCCGGCGAGGTGCAGCCTCACTACGGGCCCTCGCGCTACCTCACCTTTGAGGGCTTCTCCGTCGACGAGCACGGCAAGCAGCACTACATGGACGCCACGGTTGCGTATCGGCAGGCCTGTCTTCGGTCCATTGAATATCTGAAGCAGTTTGGTGAGTTTTTTTGTGGACTTTTTTTAACTCTCTCTTGTGGCTGGCTAATTTTTTGGTGAAATTATCAGGATACTCGGGCGAGCAGATCTATCTCCTTCTGTCGTGCGCCCCAGTGCGAGGCTCGATTGCTGGAATCGTGGATAAACCCAACGCTTGCACGACTCTGGGTGTTCCCATGGATATTTTCGACTTTGATATTTCCATCGAGGCTGAGCCTGTCAAGCGGGAATTGGGATCTTGTGCGTACACTAGCTAGAAAGAAGCACATGGGAACAGATTTGATTTGGGGCGTGGAGGGCCTGGGGCTGAGGAGCGGGTGCGGTTGCAGCGGCGTGAGGGCGTTGTGCGTTGTGTAGATGGGTTGATAATCATTCTGTAATTTTTGCTTGCCGAGTTTGACTGCCTTGACACTACATATGCTTTCAAAAGACAGATGAACCCGGCGAGATGCTCGCTACAAGGGTACGTTCGGACCGATCTGTGGTCAACTTCAGACAGATCTCGCTCGTAGTCAGGCAGTTTCTGCCCACATGCAGGTTATGCACATGCAGATTGTGCACATGCAGATTGTGCTGTGCAATTCCGATCCAGTAGCTGGTCTCTGGGGTAACTGTCTACTGGCGATTCCGGGGCATCTCACCACCAACCGTAAGCCTTTACCCCCAGCACGCATCTTTAATCCACCCCGGATATTAAATAGCTCAAGACATGCATAAGACGTAGCTCAGCTTTTTGCATCTACATTCCAAAGCCGAGTCCTTTCATAGGTCGTAAGAAATAGGCAACGTCCGCTGCCAAAGATGAGACTCTTTGCTCTTGTACATGGTCTCTGTGCTCTGGCCTGTACCGCCCTGGCGGATGCGCAGGATGCAAACGACATGGCGACCTTGTTCCGGCGACGAGTGGCTGATCTCGCCGAGTTTCCCGACCCCGCGTGGTTTGGCAACGTATCGAAATGGATCGACACGCAAAAGCCAGACGGCACATGGGCAGATGTCAATTATCTCTCTGGATGCGCCGCACGTGAGTTTTCGGACCTCGACCTAATGGGACAAGATGACATTGGCTGACCAGCAGTTACGGCTTCAGGACGCGCCAACTGGCCGATTCAGGAGCACTGGAACCGCATCATCACGTTGGCGGCAGCATGGAGCGGCGTCAGCTCGGTAGCGGATCCGAAATGGAGCAACAGCACCGAGGCATGGGAGGCGATTTCCAAAGGCCTGGATTACTGGTTCAAAAACGACTACAAACCCGCCGCATGCCTAGGTAACGGCGGCAATGCGTGAGTTTCCCTGCCTTTTCGCACATTGATGCACTGCCAACTGAACCTGAACAGCGCGCTGGGCTGTCCGTGTGGCACGCCGGGGCTATGGAACACTGTGAGTCTCGGCGAATTCCCATCATGGCATGGAAGACGCTAAATTTGTTCCCGGAACCCGACGTCATCAGAATTGGTATGGACAGGCTGTATTGATACCCCAGCTGAGCTCTACGGCTTGTCTGCTGGCGCGGGACGGACACCTTTCTCAGGAGCAGCACAAAGGATGCATCCGCTTGACTGAGCGCACATACGACAACATTGACCAGTCCTACGGCACCGGAGGCAACCTCACCGCCGCCAATGTAAGTGCATACGTGGGGGGGGGAATGTAACGTGTGTGCGGTGCCGACTCGTTTGATTCTCTAGATAGTTCTCGTTTTGCAGAGCGCAGTCAGCCTGGGCTTGTTCACCAACAATGTCACCATTGTTGAGAGCGCCATGAAGAGGGCATTCAGCGTCATGACGGTGAGTGAAAAAAAACTGCAGGCAACTTTTAGCAAAGCGTCTAATTCGCCCGTCTAGTTTTCTGATGCGGCGATGCAAGACGGCATTCATAGGGACGGCTCGTTTTTGCAACATGACGGCATACTGTACAATGGCAATTACGGAAAAGACTTGGTGCGTCACCGAGCTTGTATACAGAATGCGAGTATTGAAAACTTGGACAGCTAACTTGAATGCGACAGCTCAACATCTTTATTCAACTGCAAGGCGAGGCCGTCGGCACGCGATTCGCTGCGAATGACGCCACCCGGGAAGCCATGTCGACGTTTATTAAAAGCAACGAGTGGATGATTTTTACAGATAGGAGAACGCGGCAGCAACACTGGGATTTTGTAAGTTGTTCATCCTGTTATGGAACAAACCGTTTTAACGCTAACCGAGTATATAGAATGCCATTGGCCGTTTCGTCAGCTTTCCTACCAAGGACCTGCAAGCCAGTGCCGACATCAACTTTAACGTCACCAAGCTAGCACAAGCAGTGGCCAATTTTGACGTCCCGTACAATGTAAACGACACGATCAAAAGGTTAAAGTCCAATGGCACCGAACAGCTCATTGGAAACAGAGGATTTTGGGCAAGCGACTACATGGTATGTCACCATGCTCACAACCGACTTAGTGGACCTACTGACACACCGCAGGTACACCGGCGGCCGTCCTTTATCATCGCAAACAAGATGCTGTCCACACGGTCGACCAACTCGGAGCTCGTCAACGGCGCCAACCCGCTCGGCTACCATCTCGGCCAGGGCACGCTCTTCACCTACGTCGACGGCACCGAGTACGCCGACATTTGGGCCTCGTGGGACTGGAACCTCATCCCGGGCACAACCGTCGTCCGCAACCGACCTTTCCTGGCGGCGAACAAGGTCAAGTACCAGGGCAAACGGGACTTTGTGGGCGTGGTGAGCGACGGCCACGTCGGCGCGGCCGTCGAGGACTACCAGGACCCCCTGGACGCGCACATTTCCTATAAGAAAGCCTGGTTCTACCTCGGCGACGCGGTGCTCGTCAGTGTCGTGGATGTACAAACCAAGAATACGAGCGACGACGCGCCGATAATCACTGTGCTGGACAACCGCGCCAAAGCGGACGGCGGTGCGTTTGTCGACGGCAACAAGATTGAGCTCAGCACCAACAGGGACACCAGGGCGGTTGGCTCGACGCTCTGGTACGGCGGAAACGGGTACATGTCGTACGACGACGCGCCCTTTCAACTGACCTTGTCCGAAGGCGAGCGCACAGGCAACTGGTCCGCCATTTCGACGTCGACGGCCGGATCAGCAACGGTGCCCATCTTTTCCGCCTACACTACCGTCAACGAATCAAAAACGGCAACAACATCGTATGCCGTGTTTCCGGCAATCAGCCTCGAAAAGCTGGCTCAGGAAGCTACGAAGCCGTCGTGGAAGCCCGTCAACGGCGAGGGCATCTCTGGCGCGGCGGGACAGGGCATCTTGAGTGTCGTGTTTTGGCCGGGCGGAAGAAGCAACCACCGCTCGCTTATTGTCAACCTCGCAGATGTAGGATGGGCGCGAGACAGCGGAGCGCTCAAGGTGACGGCCGGCCAGCCGGGTGTGTATCTGATTACGGGTCGCAGGACGGGACGGACGGGCGAGGAGGGCGTGAAGAAGCTGGTGGTGACGGCGGCGGATCCGACGCAGAAGCTCGAGACCATGACGCTTGGGCTTGAATTTTCGACGAGCCCTGGCGACGAGGAGGAGGAGGAGGAGGAGAAGGCGAATACGGAGGCGTGCGGTGTGGCGGTCAAGGCTGAGTTTAGGTTGGCGTTTGCGCTGCCAAAGGGCGGCATGGCTGGCTCTTCGGTGACGCGCGAGGTTGTTCTGGCAGATGGCATGAGCGGGCCCGGATCAAGAGACAAGGTCTAGATGTCGAGGCTAGGCTCGGCGGAAAAAAAGAAAAAAGTCAAAAACAGAAAAGTGCTTGGTGAAGATGATAGTCTGGCGCGTTGACGGGGTGGCGTCTACGAGCACAGTGACTCTGGTACGGGACAGTCTGCCGCTCCAGTGCCAGGCATATGCACCGTACACGAGGAAATAGCAAACAAACATAGCACTACAAGATCAATATGTATACATAAATATATTGTAGTCATGACCCTCGACTTCATGCTCAACTCCAAAATTCGGTTAATCATGTACAGAAGAGTGAGCAAGCCATAGACCGCGTGCAGTAACTTTGGCTCAAGTTGGTATTAAATTGAAAAAAGAACATCGCAAACAGATAACAATACAACGCTCGAGATCACCCCGCTAATAAATATACACAAATTCGTCATTCTCTTTGTCGGTGAGATCCTTGAAAGCATTCTGCCCAAGATGCTGCTCCGAAACCCCCTCTTCACCGCCTGCGGCGTCGTTGTCGGTTTGAATATCATGATAGTGCTGCTGCATGGAATGGTCAACAACCTTGGCCTCTTTCCCGTTACGCACGCGCTTCTTCTCCTGCAGCTTGTTGAGCATGACGAGGTTGGCCCACTGGATAAGGATGACTGCGATGAGGGCGATAAAGATGCCAAGGCAGGCGCGCAGGCCGGGCTTGTACTCGGGCGCGTCGGCGCTGTTGAAGAGGATGGGGCCGACAATGTTGCCGGCAGAGCTGGCGGCGTTGTACAGGCTCATGACGACCGACTTCTTGGTGGTGCCGGCCGTGTTGCCGACGATCCAGGTGACGATGAGGGGGTTGCCGCCAAAGAGGAAGGCGAGAAGGTAGTAGCCGACGAGGAGGGCCGCGCGGGCCGAGTCGTCGCGCTTGACAGAGTAGAGCACGGCGAGGCCGGCGACGACGGGCAGCACAAAAAGCACGAGGATGGCGCCCTTGAGCTTGGCCTTTTGCGCGAGGTAGCTCGCGAGGAGGATGACTATGAGCTGCAGGGCGCCAAAGGGCATGTTGAGTAGGCTGGACGTGTACTTATCAAAATGAAGACCGCTGATGATGAGGGGCCCAAAGGTGTTGGCAACGCTGGCGCCAATGTTGAGAAGCATGGCCATGATCATCCACACCCACGACTTGGGCTCCAACATGGCCTCGACAAGGTGCTTCAACTTGAACTCACGGTTGCCCGTGCCCGTCTGGTTCGCGCGGAGTCTTTCAATGGCTTGGACTTTTTCGTCGTCTGTGAGGAAGCGGGCAGAGGGAATGTCGTTGTCGAGTTTCCAATAGACAAAGGGAGCGGAAACGACGGTAATCAAGCCGACGAATAAAAAGATGCTATATCAATGCGTCAGTCAAGATTTTCATCAGCTGCTGGTTGAGATAATGTTTACATTTGCCACTCTTTGAGAAGGTCTGATTTGATATGTCCCAGTCCATACGACAAGGCCGCGGCTATGATTGTGGCGAGGCCATTGGTGCCGTACCACGCGGCAATGCGGATGGGCTGCTCGGCGCGGCGATACCACTGGCTGGTAATGATGCTGAAGAGCGGCAAGCAGCCGGCCTCGAAGAGACCGAGGAAGAAGCGGGTAGCCAAGAGATGGCTGAAATTGCTGCTGGCAGCCATGCAGGCCTGGGCGATGCCCCAGCCCAGACACAGGGAGGGCATGAGGATGCGGTGGGGGACCTTTACGATGAGGTACGAAGAAAAGGGCTGCCAGGCGAGCTGGGCAATGGCGGCCATGGAGCCGACGAGCGAGTACTGGTTGCCGGTGAGGCCAGTGTCCTCTTTCAGGCCGTAGGTGGCACCGTAGCCAAGGACAGACTTGTCGAGGATCTGGAGAAAGTAGATCCAGACGAGGATGGTGAGGATGACGCGGTCCGTCTTGCGGCAGATACGGCGGCTGTCCTCCTCGGTGAGACGGACCGGGGCCGCAGCGCCAGTGCCAACGACGGCGGCAGCAACGTCGTCGTGCTTGTTGGCGGGCTTGGTGGTGGGCGGCGTAGAGCTGCTGGCGTCGTCTCCGAGAGAGGGACGCGGACGCATCTCGTGGTGGGAGACGTCGTTGTCGTGCTTGGAGTCGTAAGAATCCATCGTGGTTCAGCGAGAAGAAGACGACGACGGTGGACGCGAGTCGGATGCAAGAAGTGGCATGGAGAAGAAGGAGAAATATGTTTCGATGGCAATTGGAGTGAGCAAGTTGTTTATAGCATGGCAAAAGCCAAAGCCTTTGGGTGGGATGCCATCGCCGTTGTGCCAAGTCGAGTCTGGTCGACAGGTGACTACCGCTTGAGACCAAGCGACAGACTAGAGTAATTTGAGGGACTAGTCATGACGCTAACAGCGCTTTCCCCCACTTCCTCCACGCCTGAATTAGCGCCATCGACCTCTGATTGAACCGCTAATAGCAGCCGGCTATAGGGAGCTACAGGTGGCTACAGCTACTGGTACAGCGGCATTCACAGGACATGACAGCTGGAAAATAGGTACCTAGGCACCTAGATAAGCTCCAAGCAGCCCTGTTCGTGGCTGCATTGTGGCTGTTATAGCGGTCTATTATAGCGGTCTGCAGCTGGCGTGCTCCCCCACGTACTGAGTACCATGTCATCCAGCATCCCTCGAACAAAGGCCATGGTTATTTAGGAAATAAAAAAAGAAAAATCCCATCTTGGCTTGCATTTGATGTCTCGGAGCTACATCTGCGGATTCTTCCTTTTAAACATTCGATGACACGAGTGTGATGATGTAGACCGCTCTATCCTTGCCTTGGCCGGCAGTTTTCGGGAGTCCAAGGGGCGTACAAGGTGCAATGAGTCAATTGCCGAGCTTATAGCCGCCGCCCATTACCGAGCACCACCACCCGCTACCCACGCCACTTCCTCCGGCAATGCTCTCGTGCAAGCCAAATAAAAAGAGGCGCTGCCACAACTAACATCTACGGAGCCTGTTAATTTCATGCGCGCCCGGCAATCATCCGATGGTTCCCAGATCGTGCCAGCATTTGCGTCCAATCCTTCCTGGCTGGTTGTGATCTCAAAAAACACAAAAAAAAAAAACAATGATATTAGAGCAATCAAGTCAATGCCCATCTGACATACCGCGAGACACATCATGAACAAGGTCAACGTCCCCCAGATTCATTGTCCCGCAGGCAAGCATCTTGTCTTCCCGCCTCCGTGGGGTGCTGTGATGGCATTCTGCGGGGAAGCCCGATCATAAGCCGACTGGCGATTGATTCTCAAAAGCCGAGCGCCGTTTGATCCTTGGCGAACCAGCAATAGCCGTTTCGCTCCATCTTCTCGAGGCTCTAGTTTGCTAATAAAGTTAGTAAATGGATAGCCTGAATATTGACATCAATCAGCCTCCAGGAGCGCTTTGTTTTTTTTAAGGCATTGTTCAATACTACCCCTCTTTGACGTCGAAACTCCTTTCACATCGGAACCCGTTTCCGCACACCGAAATGACTGCGTCTGCTCCCCTGCAGCCCACCGTCCTGGTCGTCTGCGGCCCCGCGGCATCAGGCAAAAGCTCCATCGCCCAGGCTTTGGCCGACGAGTTTGCATTCCAGTACATTGAAGGCGACAGCGTACGATTTCTCTTCAACTCCTCGTGTTCAATGCGCCATACCTGATATTTGCTCTCGAAACTGACTTGTAACCTTGACCCTTCAGCATCACCCGCAAAGCTCCATTGACAAGATGAGCAGCGGTATACCGCTCACAGACAACGATAGGTGGGACTGGCTCGTCGGGCTTCGGGAGCTCGCCAAGGAGACGCTGCAAGCAGGCCACCGTGGCGTTGTCGTGTCCTGCAGCGCTCTGAAACATACATACAGAGATGTCATCCGGATCCTTACCGAGCAACAGCCCGGGGTCTTGCTGCGGTTCATCTACCTCAAAGTCAGCCCCGAGGTTCTACTGGCCAGAATCAAGGCAAGAAGCGGCCATTTTATGAAGGACAGTATGCTCAAGAGCCAACTGGACAGCCTAGAGGAACCACGTATTCACGAAACGGATGTCCTGACTGTTGACGCCGATGTTGGGTTGTCTGACGTCACGAGAAACGTGATTTCCAGCGTGCGAACTGCTGCCATTTTTTAAAGGATGGCGATCTTGAAAATAGACTGTGAGGGAATATAAGTAGATGAAATGATAATCGAACGACTTTCGAAACAAAACAAATTCTGCATTCAATTTATGACAGTGGATTTCATCCCAGTTTCTGTTATTGCTGTATCGTGGCGGCTATTGGCAGGCATGTCCAGGTGGGTAGGGGAGCCTGGCGCGGGGATTCCATCGGTCTGCACTATTGGCGGCGCCATACCGTGACCCAACTTCTGCTTGGCTCTTCCACAAAGCAAGACTTCCAAACTAACTAATCATTTGCAAGATGACGACTCTATCTCTTAACGAAGTTGACAATCGCGTTCAGGGTCGGCTTGCCCTAGTCACAGGAGCGAGGTGAGGGACCTGCGGGCCGCGGTCGCATACCGCCATCAAGGCAGCCCCCTTGTTATTAACTGGTCGTGATAATAGTGGCGGGATAGGCTCCGGGTGCGCCAAGGGTCTGGCAGCAGACGGTTGCGATGTAGCCCTGCACTACTCGTCGAGCAAGGTTCGTCGACAAACGCTTGCTTCGTCCCGAAATCGACGGGAGGGGGGTTAAAGGGGGCTGACTGCGCGCCATTTCTAGGACAAAGCAGAGGCGCTGGCGTCGGAGCTCAAAGCGCTGTACCCGGCGCAGCTCTTCGTGACCGTGTCGGCGGATCTGACCTCGCGCGAGGCCACGCGGGCTCTCGTGCCCAATCTGCTGGCGCTGCCCGACGTCGTCGCAGCCAAGCACACGGCCGTGTCGATTCTCGTCGCCAACGCCGGGCTAGGCCGGCGCATCCGCGACCCCAAGGACATTGAAGAGTCCGACTGGGACGAGATCATGGAGGTGAATGCGCGCAGCCAGTTTGTCGTGACCCGGGCGGCGCTGCAGGGCATGCGCGCGCAGGGCTGGGGCCGCGTCATTCTGATCGGCAGCATCGCGGGCCACGGCGGCGGCATCAACGGCTGCCACTACGCCGCGTCCAAGGGCGCGCTGTGCTCCATGGGCAAGAATCTGGCGACGGTGCTGGCCGCAGAGGGCATCACGGTCAATATTGTGAGTTTGAACTACGTGTGACGATGAATTGATTTGTCGCGCGCGCGCCGAGAGGCTAACGAGATCCCTTTTTTTGTGCCAGGTGTCGCCGGCCATGATTGGGGCGACGGGAATGATTCCAACGCCAAAGTCAAGGTGAGGCTGGTATTTATAATGTGGAATGGACAGAGACTAATTTTCTATTGTAGGACCTGGACAAAGGGTACGGATATCGATGCGCTCAAAGAGCAGGACCCGGGTTTGGGCATTGCAGCGAGTGTGCCAGTTCACCGCCTTGGGCTTCCAGAAGAAGTGGCCAGTGTTGTCTCAATGTAAGTGGTAATGTTGGGAATAATTATTGACATTGTTTTCGTCATTGCTCTCTCCTTAATTTTTGCATCTTTATTAATTAGTTCTAGGTTTGCCAAGACGGGATATCTGACAGGGCAAGATATTGTGCTTGGGGGTGGTTTGAAATAGAGGAAAGCAGGATAATAATATATACTAGTATACATTTGTATTCAACTATGAAGTGCGCCTGAAAATTCAGTAGGTTTCACCCGAGCATGTTCGGTATAATGCCATCTCTGCTCGGATTGGCCTGAGCTTGCTTCAGTTTGATTATGCTTGCATCCTGCTTTAAATTGTGCTGCGCCGGCATTTGCCGTAATGCTCGGCGTCGGCTTTTGCTGCTTCCGGATCTGGCTGTCGCGGCGCCACCAAGCTTGTACGGCCTGGGTTACCTGGGTGGCACGGTTCAACCGGCTTCAGCCTTGGCTCTTCCATCAACGTCCCCCGTGCAATTACCGGGACATACCTTGCTTTCCCCAGTCCGCCCTCTTCCCGCCCGCTGCCAAAATTCGCCTGGTCGGCTTCTGCCCCCCACAGAACTTGCCTCCTCCAAACCCCATTTTCCCGGTCGGCCATCTCGGCCATCTCGCGATTTACCAGTTTGTCTAACGGCAACCCGATGATGACCCACCCCAGCAAAGGAAAGCGTGTATCGCGCGCTTGCATATCGTGCCGGTCGAGAAAGACAAGATGTGATCTGTAAGCCACGCCCATTCGATCCCTCGACCCCCCGGTTCAGTGCTGTTTGCATGTGTGCGCGCTGCGCCCGATTCCCCCGCCGCGCAGAGCCACCGCGCAACGGTCAGCGCTCTTTTTATTTTCTCTCCTCCCTTTACCTTAGCCCGCATCCTGCTCGTGACGCGAACGATTTATTTATTCATTGCAATTGCTGTAGAGATTCTACCGGTTCGCCTGGTACGCCGCCGTGTCAGCGCTGCATAGAAGAGAAGCGCGAATGCGTGCTCGCTACATCGCGGCGTGGAGGCCGTCGTGTCCGCAAGAAGAGGCCGCTCGACGAGTCTGGAGCCCGCACCGCAACGGACGTAAGCAGCGTCAGCATGGGCGGCGGTCCGCTGCACACGCCGGTGCGGCAGCCGGCGATGCGCGATGGCCACGGCATCGATGCCTGGCCGCACGGTGGCCCCGCGCAGCAACAGGATCCATCCTGGACAGGCGACGGCTCTGCATCCCGGACCGACGCCTCGCAGTCGGCCTCGCGTCGGAGCTCAGTCGTCCTCGACGGCCATCTTGCATCCGCTGACTTGCTAAACCCCTCGGATGCGCTCGACTTGTTGGCGCAGGTGGCCGACTTGGAACCTGGACACAGCGACAAAGACGCCATGCCAGTGCGGACAGCAAATTCAAGGCAGCCGTCTCGTGATCTAAATCTACGATATCCGCCCATATCCGATGGCGCGCTGGGCTTTGCCGACGCTGCGGCCTTGATTCAGCAGTAAGCCTGTCTAGAAACTGCCTGCTTGAGCTGGCCATGAACTGACACACGCCTCTCTAGTTACCACGAAAATTTTCATCCCTTTTTTCCCGTCGTGTATAAGTCCATCTTCGACGGCCACATCTCAGACTGGATCGAAAAGGAACCTCACGTACTCACAGCAGTCCTCACCGTCGCATCCAAAGAAGAGCCTTCGTGGCAGAGAGCCCACGAGGCCTGCTCGCGACACATGGAAAGCCTCCTGTCACCGCTCATCTACGGCGGCGTCACCACAGTCGGAGCCGTGGAGGCGCTGCTAATCCTTGCCGAATGGGCGCCTCAGCCACCGCACGAGATATCTTCTATTGGCTGCGGCAAAGAAGACTACGGTGCCTGGATGTTGGTGGGCGTTGCTATACGGCTTGGCTACCTGCAGAGACTGGAACAGACGGGCTTGCAAGACCCTCCAGATAGTCAATCAGAGAGCTTCAGTCGCAAAAAGATTGCCTGGGCCGGTAAGTTGCTCGCCGTTATGTCCGTGGAATGGCAACTGACCAAGGCTACCAGCATGCTACATGAGTGATCGCCAAGTTTCAATACGCCTTGGAAAAGGATTCTGGTCTCGAGGGCCAGGTCCAGCATCGAATCTACGTGCCGTCGATTTTCCTTCGCTACAGTTGCAGCACCTAGGGCCTGATAATATGGGGCTCCTATTTCAGGCGCAGCTCGAACTGACTCAGCTGTTCAGCAATGCTCATGATATTCTATACTCTTCGACCAGCCATCGCGAACAATTGTACGTCGGTGGTGAATATGTTCGGTATATTGTATGCTACCCCCATTTATTCAGGCAACAAATCTCTCGCTAACATGACTAGGACGACTTTGCTGCTGTTTTGAGAAAGTGGAAGATGACATGGGGAAGCTTCAGCTGTAAGTTTGCTATACATGATTTGTAAATTGTCTTCTGACAGTTGATTGCAGTCACGCCGCACGTCAAGGCCTCTTTGATACTATCATACGACTTTTTGCGCCTGTATATAAATGCCTTTGCATTCCAGGCGACCATGAACAGAGCTGCAGCAAAGACACGCAAAGCAAACAAGAGCCACATCACAGGTCCGCTATTTGCAGACTTGGCCGCAGCACCGGATGCCCGGTTCATTTACGAGTCGATTGACGCTGCCAACTCTCTTCTCAGCATCCTCAACAGCTTCATCGACCCGGTTGCAGGCTTAAAGTATATGCCGCTCAAGTATTCGCTGTTTGTGATTTATGCTGCCGTTTTTCTCTTCAAGGTGCGTACCAACAGGGCCTTTTCTGTGACACCATCTGATCAATGTAGGCTTGGAGCGCGGGTGCGATTAGCAATGAAGGCATCACTGGGATGAGGCGCGCCATTCTCGGAACCATTGCGCAGCTGCAAAAGACGTCGACCAGTACGCAGAGCATTGGACACCGATATGCGCGATCGTTGCGCCTGCTGTGGAGGAAACGACCAACCAAGCGGGGCTCGAAGCACGACAACAACCAGACGTCTCAGCCCGCGCCGAATGTTCCTCCAGAGCATTCGATGTCCGGACCTCACGGCAATTTTGACGGCGGCTTGCAAGGGGGGATTGAATTGGATGCGTTGAATGGGTTCTCATGGCGAGATTTAGACTCGCTGGGGCAGTACATCTCCAACGATGCGTCCATTCATACCACGGACGGCGTATTGACCACGCCTGAATTCGATTCAGAGCATGGCGCGAATCCTGTCGAGGGGCTGCCAGTTGACTTTGGATATCAAAACATGTGGAGTGGTGGTGATATAATTTTTTAGTGTATTCATAATGATTTCAAGGCGGTTGTGCTTGAGTCTCGGCTTATAATGCGACAGAGGCTCGGTGAATGATTTGTCCAAAAGTACATACCCAAGCCATACGAGCTATAATTCGTTATTATATGGATCATTGCAAGCGTCGGGGCCAGAGAAGAATTTGGTGAGCCGGAGATGGTACCCGGGGTCCCGGAGTGAAACGGAGTCGCAGTCGGCAACGCGTTGGGCAAAATGAACGAGGTGGCGTCACGTGCCGCAGCAGTGGTGAGCCGCGACGACGGGCGCATATGCTGCTGGGGGTCTTTTGCGCCCGCCTGCTGAATACTCGAACACGCTGCTCTCTCTCCCCCCCCCCCCTCGTGCGCCCTCTTTTTTGTCATCTCGACAGATGGCTTCCATGGCCAGCAATTGGACGCAGTCAACGAGGCTGGTGGCGCAGAAGGCGTCGGCGTCGGCGTCATCGTCGGCGTCGTGGTCGGTGTTGCATAGGATTTGCAGGCCAGGAGGAGCAGTCGCCAACACCATCAAGGCTGGCTTCCACTCAGCTGCGGCCCATCAGCGGCCACAGCCGCCATCATCAGCACGTTTTTACAGTGGCTGTTCGACGTAAGTTGCGGGAAGCACCGAGGAAGATTTCTTTTTTATCACGCCGCATGCGAAGCCCCCCCCTTTGAAGTGCTAGCTGCATGGAGCTAGTGGCTCACTGCCGGCAACCTCTACAACTTCTCCTCCAGGACGTGCAGGCGGGCTGTCGGTGGCTGGTGAGGTAAATCAGGGTAATTCAGTGTTTGATGCAACGCCTGATTTGCACTGCATACAGCCAAAACCCAGCCAAAACCCAGCCACTGTTGTATCCGCTACTTTCGTCAACAAGTGGCACCGATTGGGCGCGAGGGTTTAAGCAGCCAAAAAAATGGCTGATCCACTCGCCGTCCATCTGCCCCTCAGTCCAACCAGGCAACCCCGCCATCACAACTCGCATTTACGTACATTTATACCAATTCGACAGTCCAACCACCGCCTTCTATAAACGCCCTCGTCACCCCCACTGCCTGGTGCCGAATCCCACAAAGTTCCTGCTGACAGCCTGTCCTGTTAGTATATTATCTAGCCAGCGTCCCTCGTCTGCTCTGTCGAATACTCGCTCTCTGCAGGCCGCTGCGCAATCTCACTACCTACACACCAGCCAGACGCGACACTGCTCTTTTCGTCGAAACAATATGTGTAGAACCCAGTCCGGTGTCGTCCACGGCGGCGTCAAGGAGGACCCTACCAAGGATCGCGAGCTCCTGCCCGCCAACGTCGTCCCTACCCACTACGATTTGACCCTCGAGCCCGACTTTACCAACTTCAAGTATAACGGTAGCGTCATTATCGACCTCGACGTCGTCGAGGACTCGACCTCCATCTCCCTCCACACCCTCGACATCACCATTCACTCCAGCAAGGTTACCTCCAATGGCGAGCTTGTCACGTACGTCAAGAGTTTCCCATCGGCTTTGCAGTCTAGACATTTGCTGACCCCGCCTTGATAGTGACAATGCAACCGTCAGCTCTGACGAAAAGAAGCAAGTCACCAAGTTCGACTTCAAGGGCACCCTCGCCAAGGGCTCCAAGGCTCAGCTCGAAATCAAGTTCACCGGTATTCTCAACGACAAAATGGCGGGCTTCTACCGTTCCACATACAAGAACAAGGATGGCTCAGAGGGTATCCTCGCCGTCTCCCAAATGGAGCCTACTGATGCACGCAGAGCCTTCCCCTGCTTCGACGAGCCTTCTCTCAAGGCCAAGTTCACCGTCCACATCATTGCCGACAAGCATCTGACCTGTCTGAGCAACATGGATGTCAAGAACGAGACCGAGGTTGGCGCTAAAAAGGCCGTCCACTTCAACACCTCTCCCCTCATGTCCACTTACCTTCTCGCTTTTGTCGTTGGTGAGCTCAACTATATCGAAACTACCGCTCACCGCGTGCCCGTCCGTGTCTACGCTCCTCCCAGCGAGGATATTGAGAACGGTCGCTTCTCCCTCGAGCTTGCCGCCAAGACTCTTCCTTTTTATGAAAAGACTTTTGGTATCGACTTCCCTCTTCCCAAGATGGACCAGGTTGCCATTCCTGACTTTTCCGCCGGTGCCATGGAAAACTGGGGTCTTGTTACCTACCGCGTTGTTGATCTGATGCTTGACGAAAAGGAGAGCAGCATCGACACCAAGATTCGTGTTGCCGAGGTCGTCCAGCACGAGCTCGCCCATCAGTGGTTTGGCAATCTTGTCACCATGGACTGGTGGGATGGTCTCTGGCTCAACGAGGGTTTCGCTACCTGGGTTTCCTGGTACTCTTCCAACTCCTTCTTCCCCGAGTGGAAGGTCTGGGAAGAGTACGTTGTCGATAACCTGCAGTCCGCTCTGGGGCTCGACTCTCTTCGCAGCAGTCACCCCATTGAGGTGCCAGTCAAGTGCGCTGACGAGATTGCGCAAATCTTTGACTCCATCTCTTACTCCAAAGGCTCTGCTGTTCTGCGCATGATTTCCACCTACCTAGGCGAGGAACAGTTCCTCGAAGGTGTCCGCCAGTATCTCAAGAAGCACGCCTACGGCAACACCGAGACTGGTGACCTCTGGGCCTCGCTGGCTGCTGCCAGCGGAAAACCCGTCTCTGAGGTCATGGGCGTCTGGACTAAGGAAATGGGTTACCCTGTCGTCACCGTCAACGAGAACGGATCTACCGCCGAGGTCACCCAGAACCGATTCCTCCGCACCGGCGATGTCAAGCCCGAAGAGGACGAGGTTCTCTACCCTGTCTTCCTCGGTCTCCGTACCAAGGAGGGTGTCGAGAATGCTGCGACTCTCGATGTTCGAAAGACTCAATTTGACATTCCTGCCGATGACTTCTTCAAGCTGAATGCCAACCACACCAGCCTATACCGTACAGCTTACTCGCCCGAGCGACTTGGCAAGCTTGGTGAGGCTGCCAAGGCTGGCCTTCTTAGCGTTGAAGATAGAGCTGGCATGATTGCCGACGCTGCCTCGCTGGCTGTTGCTGGTTACCAAAAGACCAGCGGCATTCTGAACCTGCTCAAGGGCTTCGACTCTGAAAATGAGTATGTTGTCTGGAGTGAGATTCTGCGCCGCCTATCAGGCGTCGAGGGTGCTTGGCTTTTTGAGGATAAGGCTATTCGCGATGCCCTGAGAAAGTTCCGCAGAGAGCTCGTCAGCCCCAAGGCTCATGCCCTGGGCTGGGAGTTCAAGGAGACTGATACCCACAGCGAGGGACAGTTCAAGACTCTGATGTTCGCTTCTGCTGGAGGCAGCGGCGATGAAAAGATCATTCAGGCTGCCAAGGATATGTTTGCCAAGTACGTCACCGGTGATAAGTCGGCTATCCACCCCAACCTCCGGTCCTCCGTCTTTACCTTGGCTTTGAAGCACGGTGGTGCCAAGGAGTTTGATCAACTCATTGAGATCTACCGTACCTCGAGCGTCACTAGCGAGCGCAACACCATTCTGAGGTGTATGGGCCGTGCTGAGGACCCTGAGCTTATTCAGCGTAGCTTGAGTATGGTCTTTGGTCCTGATATCAGGAATCAGGACTGCACATCTGCTCTTGGAGGTTACCGCGCCTATCCCCACGGCATTGAAGCCATTTTTGAATATCTGACCAAGAATTGGGACCTTATCATCAAGAACGTTGGTGACAATGCGTCGCTGCTGGGAGGCGTTGTTGCTATCACGACTGGCGGTGCTACAAAGCCCGAGCAGCTGGCCAAGATTGAGGCCTTTTTCGCCGACAAGAACACTAGCGCCTTTGATCAGACTCTGAACCAGGTCAAAGATTCCATCCGCGCTAGAATTGCTTGGCTCGAGCGTGATAGGGACGATGTTGCGGCCTGGGTCAAGGAAAACGGATACCTTGTATGAAATTTTCTAGATACCATATAAAGAGCAGTGTATGAAGCGCATAAGTAGCAGCTTCGAAAATCTACAGATGAAAGAAGTGGAATTAAGGAACCACGCAGCCTGACTGCGTGCAATTGATTGACGAGTTGCATGTCGTGGCGGGTGGGCGCTTCAACCGGAACACTGTCATCGGGGTGAAGGCGTGTCTTACATAGACGGACACGGGCCCGCCGCCGTCGCGATTGTAGGCCGCCGAGGAAGCCGGCGGGCGCTGTTAGGTGAACGGCGTTGACTCGGGCCCGCGTGGCTCAGTCGTCGTGTCGATCCAGGAATTAATAAGGGACCACGGCGACCCCTGACTACGCGTATCACGTCTGTTTTTGCTGAACGGTCCCCAGCTTGAATGTGACCACGGAGGCGGACCTGTCTAGGGTATGATGTTGGTCGACGGGCGATTGCGGGAACGGTGTCTGGGCCCCTTATCGTCAATGCCGTCTCCGTTGATTGCTATTGATAATTAATTAGGATAAAAAAAATCACAATTATTCCCGCGAGGGCGCCGGGATCTAACGAGGACACAATTGCTAGGCTGGTTTGCGAAAGAAAAAAAGAAGACGTCATGGCGGACTTTATCTTTTGGTAGCTTTGTGCAAAAGGCGGCATGCATGCATAAAATTCTAGCGGACATGTGGCGGCCTGGGAAGTGGGGGAGGAGCGTTATGAATGGTCGGCCACGCCGTTTGTAAAGACAAGATATAGGAAGAAGTCTGCGCGTTTGATTCGATTGCATTTGCTGCGAAATCGTGTATCAAATCAAGATGAAGAATCTATCCATGTAAATACTGCTAGGCTTAGGGAGAAGCGAAAGAAGAAGAGGCTGCCCAGAACCGGAGATTTCGGTGCTAACAAAACTCCTGTCCACTGACGACGCTCTGGGTGGATGCAGGGGGGTTTTACGAGGTCGAAAGTTGGGAAAAATTGATTTCACCCGGCGGGACTTGAGCATAAATATTTTGGACTCAGAAAGCACAACTAAAAGGATTTATAACGGAGCAATTTGACCGTCGGGCTCCGTCACCGTCCCGACAGCCGGCATCACTCACTGTTAGCTCCGCGCGATGCCGCGCTCTTTGCAAATTGATAATAATAGACGAAGGGCTGTAATTAGATGACGCAAGATGTAGATGGGGCGTTCTGCGGCCCAGGAACCCGGGGCACCGGTGATCCTGCTGGCTCTTCGTGTAACCCAGCCAGGGCTTGGTGTTGACGGCAAAGGAACTTGTTCTCACGCTATTGAGCAATAGTTCTTTCTCGCATTATTAGAGCAAGGTCCATGGTTCGGTGCCGAGAGCCAGAGTATCTAGTTGTCCCGGCAGTTGAAAATCTGAAGCGAGAGACTGGTGACTGACTAGCCAAAAGAAAGAAAAAAAAAGGTATAATCCGGTCGAGATGTTATCAACGTGCATTTGCTCATTCGTGGCGGTTTCGGGATTCTCCACCTTGCAATGGACCTGGCATCTCTAACTTGTGCATCACCGTAGGCCCAGCCTTGATGGGCCCGAGGCTTCCGAATACGCGGAGACTTAGCACGGACGGAACAAGGCCGTATCTCAAGGTGGCAATGTAAATTTACGTCATTTGCCTTTTTTTTTTGTTTGTCAGATTGTGATGCGGATTTCTTCTCCGTTGGGATCATTCATGATATTTCCAAGAAGGTAGGGCCAGGCCCTCTGGAAGCCTGGCGTGCGGAGAAGCAAGTCGGGACGGGAAGAGGAAAAGTTTATTTTGTTGGATGGGCGGACTTTTGAGTTTCAGCCCAAACCGTTGCCCAAAACAAAGCAGAGGCTAAAAACTAAAGACGACAACCGACAGGCTATGAGTGCATGCCTTGTCGCGGTCTGTGCGACGTTCTGTTTACATTCCAAAGGCCTAGAAGAACAAGGGTTTTTATTTGCATGTTTGAGAGATGGGGCTCACCTGACAACGTCAATTATTTGGATGGATGCATGATATATCCAAGGCTGACGGCTCTGCACACCACGAACTAGATTAATAAACAACTACCGAACACTCTGCAGCTTAACCAATCGTGGACTAACTACTCCAATTACTGTTTCTCTTGGAGATGCGCCATCATCGTCACCAGCAGAATGGGGAATGAGAGACTAGCCGGAAGCAGCCCGAGCAACCAATTAGCCCAGATGATAAACACTAGCAGCGTCAACTCTATGTATCAGGAACTCCAAGCGCTGAACCCATCCCCGCTGTGCATAATAAACTAAACTAAAACTATACGGGGAGTACCAGAGTTCCGTCCCGAAGGGCCGTGTGCTTATCTGCGCTGATGTCTTTCTCTCTCTTTTTTTTTATGGGCTCCCGGGGCTGTGAGTAGTGGGCGTTAAAATCCGTAGCCGGACAGAGCCAAGCCCATGTTCAATGGGCTGATCCAAGATCCACGCCCCAGAGCTAGTTACTCGCAAAGCTGGAACCAACTTTGCAACTGTAGTTGTCATGGAGGAGGGGTGGCCACTCTCACGCCCCAGGTAAGTCCGGAGCAACCAAACGATGCGTAGCGATTTGTGAAGAAAAAAAAAAGGGCATCTTCCGGACTTTGTCGGGCCCCCCTCTGCCAGGACTTGTAGTTGATTAAAATACCCAGTGTGTCCCGCCTCAGGTTATAATTGTCTTTGATTTCCACTAATACATTGCCAGAGTAAGAGAGCCTGAATACCGTCATACACGCATCATACGGCCTACACATTGTGTGTGTGTGTGTGTGCGCGCGTGCCCGGTAAACGAAAGGGCCTTTTCACCCTTCAACACTCTCTTGACAGCATTTTTGTGAGGTCTGCAAGATGGCGACCAATAACGACAACAACACCATTCAGCCAGCCCTCGATGTGGCGCCGGCGCTCGAGTACCAGCCCCAGCAGCAGCAGCAGCAGCCCGGCCCGGCCGCCGACCAGATTGACGCGCGCCAAGATATAGAAAAGCCAGTCAAGCTCGAAGACTCGGAAGAGGATGAGCGCGCCGACCGGGTGGCGCCGCTCAGCCGGCGCAACACCGAGGCCATGATTGCCGACAACGACCGCGAGGAGATTATGCGCATCGCGAGCCAAATCAGCCGGCGGCGGTCGAGCGTGGCCAGCCTGCAGCAGGTGCCGTCGCAGCAGGGCGGCGGCGGCGTCGGGCTCGATTGGGACGACCCGCGGCTCGATCCGCAGAGCGACAGCTTCGATCTCGGCAAGTGGGTGCGCCACTTTGTGAGCCAGGTGCGCAAGGAGAACCGCATGGGCCCCAACACGGGCGTGTCTTGGCGCAACCTCGACGTGTTTGGCTCGGGCGACGCGGTGCAGATCCAAAAGACGGTGGGCTCGCTGCTGATGGCGCCGCTGCGGCTCGGCGAGTCTTTCCACTTTGGCAAGAAGGAGCACAAGCAGATCCTGCACGGCTTCAACGGCATCCTCAAGCCCGGGGAGCTGCTCGTGGTGCTCGGGCGGCCCGGGTCCGGGTGCAGCACCATGCTCAAGGCCATTTGCGGCGAGCTGTACGGCCTCAAGCTGGGCGACGAGACTGAGATTCACTACAGCGGCATCCCGCAGAAGCAGATGATGGCCGAGTTCAAGGGCGAGACGTCGTACAACCAGGAAGTGGACAAGCACTTTCCGCATCTGACGGTCGGGCAGACGCTCGAGTTTGCGGCGTCGGTGCGGACGCCGCAGGAGCGCATCCAGGGCATGTCGCGCAAGGAGTACGCAAAGTACATGGTCAAGGTGGTCATGGCGTCGTTTGGGCTGAGCCACACGTACAACACCAAAGTCGGCGACGACTTTGTGCGCGGCGTGTCTGGCGGCGAGCGCAAGCGCGTGAGCATCGCCGAGATGCTGCTGGCGGGCTCGCCGATTAGCGCGTGGGACAATAGCACGCGCGGCCTCGACTCGGCCACGGCGTTCAAGTTTGTGCAGAGCCTGCGGACGGTGACGCAGATTGGCGACGCCGTGTGCGCCGTGGCCATTTACCAGGCGAGCCAGGCCATCTACGACCTGTTTGACAAGGCGACGGTGCTGTACGAGGGCCGGCAAATCTACTTTGGCCCCGCGGGCCAGGCCAAGCGCTACTTTGAGGACATGGGCTGGTACTGCCCGCCGCGGCAAACGACGGGCGACTTTCTCACCTCCATCACCAACCCGGGCGAGCGGCAGACGCGGCAAGGCTTCGAAAACAAGGTGCCGCGCACGCCCGAGGACTTTGAAAAGGCCTGGCTGCAGTCGGCGGACCGCCGCGCGCTGCTCGCCGAGATTGACGCGCACGATCGCGAGTTTAGCGGCAGCAACCAGGAGCACAGCGTGGCGCAGCTGCGCGAGCGCAAAAACGCCATGCAGGCCCGCCACGTCCGTCCCAAGTCGCCCTACCTCATCAGCACCTGGATGCAGATCAAGGCAAACACCCGCCGCGCCTACCAGCGCATCTGGGGCGACATTTCCGCCCAGTCGGCCCAGGTCGCCAGCCACGTCTTCATCGCTCTCATTGTGGGAAGCGCCTTTTACGGGAACCCCGCCACCACGGATGGCTTCTTTGCGCGCGGCTCTGTGCTCTTTATCGCGATTCTCATGAACGCCCTCACGGCCATTTCCGAAATCAACAGTCTCTACTCCCAGCGGCCCATTGTCGAGAAGCAGGCCTCGTATGCCTTTTATCATCCCGCTACCGAGGCCATGGCCGGCATCCTGTCTGATATACCAATCAAGTTCATCACTGCGGTCGTCTTCAACATTATCCTCTACTTTATGACTGGACTTCGTCGCGAGCCTGCCCAATTCTTTCTGTTTTTCCTCATTACATTCATGACCACCTTTGTCATGAGCGCAGTCTTTAGAACCTTGGCAGCCTCTACCAGGACCGTCTCACAAGCCATGGGTCTGTCTGGTGTCATGGTCTTGGTCCTCGTCATTTATACCGGTTTCGTTATTCCGCAGCCGTCCATGCATCCTTGGTTCGCCTGGCTCAGATGGATCAATCCCATCTTTTACGCCTTTGAGATCCTCGTCGCCAATGAATTCCATGGTCGCAATTTTCCCTGTGGTCCAAGCTCTTTTGTTCCTCCATACGAGCCTCGTATCGGCACTTCCTTTGTCTGCGCCGTCGCTGGTTCCGTCAAGGGCTCCGAGACGGTCAGTGGCGATGCCTTCATCGACGCGAGCTACCAGTACCACTACTCTCATGTCTGGAGAAATCTTGGAATCCTCTTTGCCTTTTTGATTGCGTTCATGATCATGTACTTTATCGTGACCGAAATCAACTCGTCCACCACCAGCACTGCCGAGGCTCTCGTTTTCCAGCGAGGCCATGTTCCCAGCTACCTCCTCAAGGGAGGCAAGAAGCCCGCTGAAACTGAAAAAACCAAGGAGGAAAACGCCGAAGAGGTGCCACTACCCCCTCAAACCGACGTCTTTACCTGGCGCGATGTGGTATATGATATCCCCTACAAGGGCGGGGAGAGAAGACTGCTGGACCACGTTTCCGGATGGGTCAAGCCTGGCACTCTGACTGCTCTCATGGGTGTATCTGGTGCTGGTAAGACGACACTTTTGGATGTGCTGGCTCAGCGAACCACCATGGGCGTCATTACTGGCGACATGCTCGTCAGCGGAAAGCCTCTCGATGCCAGTTTCCAGCGCAACACCGGCTATGTCCAGCAACAAGGTACGTGTCATCATCTCAACATTCGCCTGGGCTTTGACTAATTAAAACATTAGATCTCCATCTCGAAACCGCAACGGTCCGTGAAAGTCTTCGATTCAGCGCAATGCTTCGCCAGCCCAAGACGGTCAGCAAACAGGAAAAGTACGACTTTGTCGAAGATGTCATCAAGATGCTCAACATGGAAGAATTCGCCAACGCCGTTGTTGGTGTACCCGGTGAAGGCCTCAACGTCGAGCAGCGCAAGCTTCTGACCATTGGTGTCGAGCTCGCTGCAAAGCCCAAGCTGCTCCTCTTCCTCGACGAGCCCACGAGTGGTCTCGACTCGCAATCTTCCTGGTCCATCTGCTCGTTTTTGCGCAAGCTGGCCGATTCCGGGCAGGCCATTCTCTGCACTGTCCACCAGCCCTCTGCGATTCTCTTTCAAGAATTCGACCGTCTCCTGTTCTTGGCCAAGGGCGGCAAGACTGTCTACTTTGGCGAGATTGGTGACAATTCGCGAACGCTTCTCGACTACTTTGAAGGCAACGGAGCCCGCAAGTGCGACGATCAGGAAAACCCGGCTGAATACATGCTCGAGGTTGTCAACAACGGCTACAACGACAAGGGCAAGGACTGGCAGTCGGTCTGGAACGATAGTCGGGAGAGCGTTGCCGTGCAAAAGGAACTTGACCGCGTTCAGTCAGAGACCCGCCAGACGGACTCGACGTCTTCCGATGACCATACCGAATTCGCCATGCCGCTGGCCACGCAGCTTCGCGAGGTCACCTACCGCGTCTTCCAGCAGTACTGGCGCATGCCCAGCTACGTCGTTGCCAAGATTGCTCTCAGCGTTGCGGCAGGTCTCTTTATTGGTTTCACATTCTTCGACGCCAAGCCCAGTCTTGGTGGGATGCAGATTGTCATGTTCTCCGTCTTTATGATTACCAACATTTTTCCTACACTTGTTCAGCAGATTCAGCCTCTCTTTGTCACGCAGCGATCGCTGTACGAGGTCCGCGAGAGACCAAGCAAGGCTTATTCGTGGATTGCCTTTGTTCTTGCCAACATTATCGTGGAGATTCCGTACCAGGTTGTGGCGGCTATCCTGATCTGGGCCTGCTTCTACTACCCGGTTGTCGGCATCCAGACGTCTGATCGCCAGGGTCTGGTGCTGCTCTTTGTTATCCAGCTGTTCCTCTACGCCTCGTCGTTTGCGCACATGACCATTGCCGCCATGCCGGATGCGCAGACGGCGTCGAGCATCGTCACGGTCCTCGTCCTGATGAGCATTCTGTTCAACGGTGTGCTGCAGCCGCCCAATGCGCTGCCCGGCTTCTGGATCTTCATGTACCGCGTCAGTCCCTTTACGTACTGGATCGCCGGCATCGTCGCAACCATGCTGCACGGCCGCGAGGTTACGTGTTCCGAAACGGAGACGCAAATCTTTGACCCGCGCGACGGGCAGACGTGCGGCAGCTACCTCGCGCCTCTGGCGGGCTCCGCACCCGGCACGTTGCAGAATCCCGACGCCACGGCGGACTGCCGATACTGCTCGTACCGGGTCGCTGACCAGTTCCTGGCGGGCTCGCGCATCTACTGGAGCGAGCGCTGGCGCAACTTTGGCCTCATGTGGGTGTACATTGTTTTCAACATTGCCATGGCCATTTTCCTCTACTACATTTTTAGAGTCCGCAAGGGCGGCTTCGGACTCGGAAACCTATTCAGTGGTAAAAAGGCGGCCAAACCAAAGAAGGAGGAGGCTGTATCGGAAAAGGCGACTAATAGTGGCTCGGCTACATCTACGCCTCCTGTCGCCAATTAAAATACGTCTCGACTTGCTCGACGATTTACTTTTTTGAAGGAAAAAAAAAAAAGGGACAAAATTCTTTCGTTTTATTTTATATTTAGATTTTCTTAGTGCCATCTGTCTAATACATGCATCTTCTTTTGTTTACTCGCTTTCATGACTGGTAGAATATAGCATTCTTTCTCCAGACGCTGCCGACGCGCTTGTCCGTCGCATCCTCTGGAATCAAATTCGGGCTATCATCTACAATCATGACACTCGACAGTGATGTGGAGTTTGTAAAAATCTTTCTCATATATTGGCCCTTTTTTCTCTCAACCAGATGGGTTTGCGATTTTGGTACGTCGAGGTCAAATCAACGCAGTTTGTGCGTCTCTGGCCACGAAGCCCGAAATTTGCCGAGTTCAACTTTTATCAGATGGGCCATGTCTATAAATGGCTGATGAAGGCTTTATAAATCCGCAACGGGGGGCAAACCCGAGTATGCATCTTTAGCAGCTTTTTTTCTTTTCAAGTACCGAAGCCACAAACAGACAAGTTACTAGGTCCCCACAAACAGGCCAAGAATCTAATAGTCTTCTCATCAGACAGCAAGCAGGCAGGGCTTTATTATCTAGAAAGGTTTGTCTCATGCGACGAGCTCCGCTGTCATTTTAAACGAGTGACATGCCAATTTACGCCTCGGCAACATCGGACGGTAAAAGATGCGCGGCGACACTGGCGTAGTATAAATTACGGACTGGGCGCGGCGAGCTGCGAGCTCCGCTGCGAGCGGAGGATTTCTTGTCGGTGGAGGAGTTGGGCGAGTGTGGCGCACTGGCGGGTATCGTGAGTGGACAACAAGCTGTTATAACCGGGGGAGTCCTTGACAAAACGTCAATAAAGGAATACCTTCATATTGATGCTCTTCATCCGGCGCATGTATGGATGTAGCGTGGTAAAATAATGGGTGGATGAATAACTACGGATGGAGAATTGCACTGCGTCACGACTTGCTGCGGGCCGGCTCCGCTAATGGCAGCATGAAGCTGTTTCCTTCTTATTTCTTACTAGTTAGCTGCCAAAGGCGTGCACTATTGCGACAGAGAAACAGGATGAAAACAGGGGGCTCACGGGCTGCCTTCTGCCTCGTGTAGTTTAAATGTAGTTTAATCAACAGTGATCCTTCATCCAACGCTGCTTATCGGTCATCCCAACGGAGAGCTGCGGTTGGTTTTCCGCATGTTTCAATTTCGCAAAATCCAGAAGAAGATCCCCTGCTAGAGCAACTAAACTACAAGTAGTTAGTTAGAAATTAAGCTTGTATGTACTGATGGCTGACTTGGTAGATCGACAGCTCACATTCCCAATCCTGCACAGTGGACTTGGTGGCTTGCTTGGCTGTCTAAATTTTTTTTCCCCTTCTTTTCACGCGCGTTGGAGCTTCGTTTACAGGAACTCCAGAGTAAAACAATTTTCGGCGCATGTCAAATAGCCCCTCGTTGTTGCAGATTTTCACTAGGTTGATCAGGATGTGCCTCGATTTGCCCCCCTGAGAGCAAAGTGAAACTTGACTCCCACGAGGCGGACGTTAGTCTGTAAGTAGAGCTGAGAGGTCCACAAGGCTGCTATTTCGGAAGGAATCAATGCTGCAGGGCGGACTGTTTCAGCATGTCCAGTTCATGCAAGCCTGCGACCGCCTTGTACTTTTTTGCGACTCGGGTGATGACTGATAGTAGCTGGGCAAACAACTATGATACTCTTCTGTCCCGCCCGTATGGAGGGGAGGGGGGACTAGTGTGGCTCAAGTTCCGCTCAACCCATCTTTCACTCCGTCGTCGAAACCGTTCGGATGAGCGCTCAACCCGATTAGTTGCTTTGGTTCGCAGGGGAAAAGAAGAGAGCCCACACACACTCGTTTGCAAAACAAGTGCATGGTTCACGACTCAGGTCCCTGGAATCTTGAACAAGGCTGCTAGCCGAGCTGGCTGCCAGGGGCGAGCGAGCCATCGTCTCGATTTGATCTGTAAAAATGTAGATGAAGGTCCTAAACCCTTCTTTGTGCATGCTATCTCTCTTGATTGAGGTTCCTGGTGCGTTTATATCAAGATCATGTCTGAAGCCAAAGTGGCCGAGGCCGCTGCCAATGGCAAGCTGCCAGACGGCATCACCGAGGCCTTTCTCAACGAATCCAAGGATCGGCCTGCCATCATTGCCATTGTGATTGTGGCCGTACTGACATGCTCCGTGGTTCTCTGTCGCCTGGCCTCGCGAGCATTCGTCGTCAAGCGTATCGGTATTGACGATGGCCTGGCCTTGGCATCTCTGGTATCTTGTCCTCTTTGAATGATGATGGTAGCATCACCAAGTTTGTGCTAACAATTCGCTTTTGACAAGTCTTGCTTTATAGCATTTGTTGCTCTTTGCATTCACCTGATACGACTCGGTTCGGGTCGCCACTTTGCGTACATTGAGATTATCCTCGACAACGACACGCAGCTATTGACGCAGCTGGTGGACTTTATCGCCCACATCATCTACACGATTGCGCTGCTCCTTTGTCGCGTGTCTGGACTGGCGTTTTACTATCGGCTTTGCAACATGCATCACAAGTTCAAAATCGCAATTCAAGCCGTCTTTGGGATCCTCATTGCAGGATTTCTACCGCAAATCTTTTTAATCATTTTTCACTGCAAACCGGCCACGGGGTATTGGCCCTACGAGTTCCAACCCGAGTTTAAGCGTTTCCAATGCCTCCAATGGGGTTTGGTGTACAGTGTCAACTCATCCGTATCGCTGCTGTGCGACTTGCTCATCTTTGGTATTCCTATTGCAATGCTCTGGACCTTGGAGATGAATCGCAAGAGAAAAATTCAGCTTGGATCGATTCTCTTGCCTGGAATTCTGTAAGGATAGTGCCCAAACTGTTAACCGTACTGCGCTAACGGCATGTTGTTCAGAGTGATTGCCATCTCCATTGCACGATTGATTCTGGTAATTCGTGGTCAATGGGAAGCCGACATGGTAAGCCTAGTAGTTGCGACTTTTGATACGGCGTTTTTGGCTCACTAACATGTCATGACTAGTCGTGGGAGTACAATCCAATGCTGGGCGTTGAAGTGGCCGAGATTGGCGCGACCTTGATTGCGCTATCTGTTCCCGGCGTCAAACCCATCTTTGACAAGTTTGTCCTGGGCAAAAAACATACTGGCGAGACGTCGGGTTCGACGGGACGTGGGAAACAGAACAAGACGACTGACTCGGGCGCCACGAAACTCGGCACCCTCAGACAGCGGAGCGAACACCTGGCGAGCCGAGACGAGATTGTTGCGCCCAACTACGAGACGGCGGTGAGCGCCGGAAACAATATCAGTCTGGATGATTTTCACAGCGCCAAATCAACAGATGGCATCTATGTCAAGGTGGACTTTGACATACAAGAAGGACAGGCTCGCCGGTAGCGATTCTGCGAGGTGGGGTGTAGTATATAGGCCCTGTAATTTTTTTGTTATATAGCATAAAGCATAGAGCTGTCAACTGAAACTCGGAGTCGTCTCGAAATGGTCTGTTCGCTATCCATTGCCAGTTGTGCACTAGTTAGGGAACAAGGACTATCCAACGCTAGAGTGACGTGATCTGCCCTAGGAAATAAGGACACGAAATAGGCCGAAAATTTCCTCTTTGGGTCCTTGACGGAATATTGGTGGATTTCTGTATTTTAATCATAATAATAGTCCGTTCGTTGAATTGTCTCCTGCCCACATCAATAATATCCACTAGCGAGCCCGCCTTGTTGCCTGCAATGAAAGAAAGCGAGTCATTGAGCTGCTGCCGTCCTAGCGGTGGGGGGGAAAGAGAAGCTCAAGCCACCTTCGGAACTGGATACATTTGCAGCGCCATTTATTGATTTGTTGGCCGACGTTTTGCGACTTTGCAGTAGCTAGCGCCGCGGAAAGAAGTCGCAAAAGAAGTCGGAAAGAAGGTCCCCCCCGACGCACTTGTCAGTTTGCCACGTTGTTGGGGTTGAGGGCACCACAATATTCACACAATATTGATAATTTACGACTCGGGCACCTGGAGATTTTGACACGCGTTGACAGGGATCGCCAGCTGACTGGATGCAAGGGGGGGGGGAAGCCAATTGCAGTCTTGCATCAAGGTTTAGATGCACTGTCAATTTCAATTTACCCTATCCATAGGTTAGTGGTATATCCCGCCCACTGGCGGCGGATCATGCCGTTGAAAGTCTAAAGAGACGTTATATGTAGAGCGCTGGCCGCGCATCTCTCTGCCCTCTCTCTGGCATGATACCAGCAGTTTGGCTGCCACAACAGGAACAATTGCACGACAGAGATCGACAAGCAGCAGCAGCAGCACCTTTTTCCTGCCCTTAGCCGCCGATCCGTCATTATGCATGCTGCCATCTTGTCGGCTGCGGCGCTCTTGGTCGTCGCAGTTGGCGCCTTTGACACGCAGCTTACGCCGCCGCTGCTTCCGCTGCAGGAAAATGCCAACACGACTGAGCTCTTTCCCATGGCTGACTGCCACGGCCTGAAGCTGGAGGAGGCCACCATTGATCAGATGCAAGAGGCCATGGCGAATACCAACCTGACGTCGTTGAAGCTGGTGGGATGCTACCTGACCAGGATAATCCAGACTCAAGACTACATCAAGTACGGCCTTTTTCTTTTTTTTTTTTCTTTTTTTTCTTTTTTTTTTCTTTTTGCTAAACACTCGAGATGGTCTTTTCGACTCAACTCTAATAAGCCTTTGCTAACCAAAAAAAAAAAAAAATCTGTTCAGCTCTGTGATGCAAATCAACCCCGACGTCTTCGCCATTGCTGCCCAGCGCGACGAGGAGCGCCAGAGCGGCAAGCCCTGCGGTCCGCTGCACGGCATCCCCTTTACCGTCAAGGACAACATTGCCACCAAGGACAACATGGAGACGACGGCCGGAAGCCTGGCTCTTCTCGGCAGCATCGTGCCCCGCGACGCGCACGTCGTGGCCAAGCTCCGCGAGGCCGGCGCCGTGCTCCTCGGCAAGGCCACGCTCAGCGAGTGGGCCGACATGCGCAGCAGCAACTACTCCGAGGGCTTTTCCGGACGCGCCGGGCAGTGCCGCAGCTCGTACAACCTCACTGTGAACCCCGGCGGCAGCAGCTCCGGCAGCGCTGTCGGCGTCGCCGCCAACGTTGCCGCCTTTTCGCTCGGCACCGAGACTGACGGCAGCGGTACGTCTCTCATCTTGTTGCTTTTCTTTGTTTTCGATTTATTTTACTAAAATCTCCATTCATGGGCCAGTCATCAACCCTGCCTCGCGCAATGCCCTTGTCGGATTCAAGCCCACCGTCGGCCGCACGTCGCGCGCCGGCGTCATCCCCGAGACGGAGCACCAGGACTCGGTGGGCACCTTTGGCCGCACCGTGCGCGACGCCGTCTACGCCTTTGACGCCATCCACGGGCCGGACCCGCGTGACAACTACACGCTCGCCGACGGCATCAAGAAGGCGCCCGAAAAGGGCTACGCATCGCTGCTCGCCAACAAGTCGGCGCTCAAGTGCGCGCGCTTTGGCCTGCCCTGGATGAGCTACTGGCGCTTCGCCGACGACGAGCAGCTGGCGGCGCTCACGCAGCTGCTGGACATGATGCGCGACGCGGGCGCCACCATTATCAACGGCACCGAAATCACCGACCACGAGACCATTGTCAGCCCCGACGGCTGGGACTGGGACTGGGGCAACACGGCGCGCGGCCGCGCCAACGAGTCGGAGCTGACGTACGTCAAGGTCGACTTTTACAACAACATGAATGCCTACCTCGACGAGCTCACCAACACAAACATGCGCACCGTCGACGACATTATCCAGTACAACTTTGACAATGACGGCGCCGAGGGCGGCCGTCCCTGGCCCCTCGGCCACCCGGCCTGGTACTCTGGCCAGGACGTCTTCCTCGCCTCGCAGGAAACCCGGGGCGTCCAGGACGAGACGTACTTTCAGGCGCTCGCGTACTGCCAGTCGACGGCGCGCAGGGGCATCGACGACGCGCTCCGCCACAACGGCACCCGCCTCAACGGCCTGCTGGTGCCCCCCGGCGTTGGGCAGAGCTACCAGCAGGCCGCGCAGGCCGGCTACCCGGCCGTGACGATTCCGGTCGGCGTGAGCGCCGAGTCGGGCATGCCCTTTGGCATGGCCATTTTGCAGACGGCCTGGCGCGAGGACGAGCTGGTCAGGTGGGCGAGCGCCATTGAGGACCTGCAGCTCACGTCCAACACGACGACGCTGAAGCGTACTCGGCCGACTTGGCGTGGCTATCTTGAGCGCAACGTTCCGGTGCCGTTTTGATGTGGCTCCATTTATTATTATACTGAGTGTTGCCCAATTTTGATACCCAAAAGAATTGGAAGGGGTCAAGTCGGGCTGTATATACTACACCACCACTATACATTAACAAACAGTATTTATATACTCGAGAATGACGGTGTGTAAGGAGATGCTCTGTCCAAGGCGAAAAATTATAGTTGCATACTGTAGACCACTATACATTAATGACCAGTATTCTTATATTCGAGAAGGACCAAGTCTAATGAGATGGTCTGTCCAAGGCGAAAAATCATGGTTACATACTGTAGACCACTATACATGAAGAACCAGTATTCTTATATTCGAGAATGACTAGATGTAATGAGATGCTCTGTCCAAGGCGAAGGATGATAGTTATACATACTGTAGACCCCGATTATCCGCTTACAATGTCCCGCTCCATCCTCACCAATCTGTGCGCTTGACAAGATTGAGTTTGTGGCGCTCTACTTGCTGGAGACACGACGTTGCGTAGGTACTCGACGCCATGCCGGAGGCGTCTCTACCGTGGCGTGCGGACAGCGGCGACAGATTTTATGTCAACAAAGACGTTTTAATTCAAGACTTGGCATACTTAATTTCTCATTCAAATTGACTTTTATTCAGTTTTGATTCGCTTTTCACATGTACCATACAAAATGAAATAAAAAACTAGGCTACCAAAAAGAAGAAAAAATAAAAACAAAAAACAAAAAAATCTACCATACATACTCTACAGCTTCGCAAACAAGCCGGCGCAGGCTCCCTTGCCGAGCTGCACGAGGGTGCTCTTGGTCCGCATGTAGGCGCGGATGCCCTCCTCGCCGTTTTCCAAGCCGAGGCCGCTCATCTTCCAGCCGCCGACGGGCATCTCGGCGGGCGACTCGCCCCAGGTGTTGATCCAGGTGATGCCGGCGTGCAGCTGGCGGACCACGTCCTGCGCGAGGCCGACGTCGGACGAGACGACGCCGGCGGCGAGGCCCATGGGCGTGTCGTTGGCGCGGCGCACCACCTCGGGCAGCCACTGGTCCTGGGAGCGGCCGCGGACGGCGTAGGGCAGCACGCACATGACGGGGCCGAAAATCTCTTCGCGGGCCACGCGCATGTCGTCGGTGCAGCTGGTAAAGATGACGGGCGGCACCCAGTAGCCGCCGGGCGTGGGCTTGCGGCTCTGGGCGTCGCGGGCGCCGTCGTAGAGGACCCGGGCGCCGTCGACGTCCTTGCCGTGGCGGATGTAGGCGAGGACCTTGTCGCGGTGCTGGGCCGACACGACGGGGCCAAAGTTGACCGACTCGTCGCGCGGCATGCCCATGCGGATGCCCTCGCGGCAGCGCTTGACGAGGGCCTGCTCGACGGCGGGCAGCAGCGTGTCGGGCACAAAGACGCGGGTGCCGTTGGTGCAGACCTGGCCGGTGGAGAAGAAGTTGGCCGCCATGGCCACGTCGGCGGCCTCGTCCGGGTGCGCGTCGGGGAGGATGACGACGGGGCTCTTGCCGCCGAGCTCCATGGTGATGCCCTTCATGTCCTTGGCGGCCGAGGCGGCGACCTTGCTGCCGGTGCTGACCTGGCCGGTGAAGGAGACCTTGGCGATGCCCGGGTGGGAGACGAGGGGCACGCCGGCGCTAGGGCCGTCGCCGTAGACGACGTTGAAGACGCCCGGGGGCACGCCGGCCTCGACGTAGATTTGGGCGAGCGTGTTTGCGTGCAGCGGCGTCACCTCGCTGGGCTTGTAGACCATGCAGTTGCCGGCGGCGAGGCAAGGGGCCGACTTCCAGAGGGCGATTTGGATAGGGTAGTTCCAGGCACCGATGCCGGCGCAGACGCCGAGGGGCTCGTGGGAGGTGAGGACGTAGGCGTCGCTGCGGAGGCGGGTGTGCTGGCCGGGCTGGCCCCCGGCGACCAAGTGGGCGTAGTACTCGAGCACGTCGGCGCCGGTGACGACGTCGACCGTCGACGTCTCGGACCAGGCCTTGCCCGTGTCGAGCGTCTCGGTCAGGGCGAGGGCGTCGTTGCGCGCACGTAGCAGGGCGGCCGCGCGGAGGAGGATGGCGGCGCGCTGCGGCGCGGGCGTCTGCGACCACACAGGGAAGGCGGCGTGGGCCGAGGCGACGGCGTCGTCGATTTGCTGCGGCGTCGAGGTGTAGATGGTGGCGAGGGGCGCGGCGGTGCTGGGGTCAAGCGACTGAAAGGTGTGAGCGGAGGAGGAGGATTTTGGCTGTGGCTGGCCAGAGTGGAAAGTGTGAATTTCGTTGGCAAAGGTCATGGCGGCGGTGGACGTGGTGGTGGACGTGGTGGTGGACGTTGTGGTTGGTGATGGCTTCGTTTGCGGTGTGCTGCCGAGATTTTGTGACACAAAGGTGGACGAGGGCCGCGGGAGCTCAGTGTCCAAGTGGAGGGTGCCAGCAGTGCAGGTGATGAGAGGGTAAAGTGACGACGGCGAGTGACGCAAAAGCTATATCCAAGAAAGGTACGTTGTTTGAGCAAGCAATGGCAATTGACTAGCTTTGGAGTCGGTGATGATGGAGCTGGAAAAGAAAGCTGATGGCGGTTAGCGGAAAGCCGGGCGAGTCGGCGGCCGTGACGTAGATACGGAGTAGTGGGGGGCCAAAGAATTACCAAGCAATAATGTTTTTAGCGGTTGTTACAGTGGCTGTGGTGACAAGCTGGGCGAGTTGTAGCGGTCATAAATTGTGGCAAGGGAGCCAATTTACAGTGGATGGATCCCCCCGCAGCTCAGTACATCTATCAAGGTGCTGGTCGTTACCATTATTCGCACTCTCAGATATCAGTACTTGCGCGCATTTATCAGTAACTAAATGCTGGTTCATAAACTAGGAATGAATATAAACTAATTGAATGAAACCTTTTTCGTCAATTCAAGAGCGCATCATGGTGAAGCAATGTGATGTTACACAGCATGTATGCTGGGAAAGCCGCGCGGCGAATGCCACTGGATCTGAAAAGTATTCTCGCTTTGATACCGCTTTTACAACAGTGAATGTGTACCACTTGTCAAGTTGAAACCGGCAGCTGATGGCAACACGGAGCAGGGTCCGATCAGGTGCTCTCAAGCCGGCCGTTGCTACGTTGGACTAGTAGCCGCCGTGTGTCGACTATCAATTGCAGTGTAGTCCGGGCCGGACTTGACATTGGCCACCGCCGGACGCTATCAAGCCGTGAGCCAGCTTGCCAGCCACCGTGGCGTTGAGATAACGAGCAAGTCGGTAAATGGCGCCATAACTGTAAAACAGGCCATGACAGCGAAAAAAAAAAAACAGTTAAAAAAAAAAAACGAAGCCGTATGCAAAATCCACGCAGGCAATCCGGCCTTTGAAACTTACAAAATCGACACCGCGGCTCGGCGCCCCTCGGAAAAGCCTCACCATTTTCCTAAAACAGTCACTAACTAGCAACTGCAGTCCACATGGGTCAGGGTCCGGCGGGGGATATAAAACAATGAACAAGAAGAAAACGGAGTTTGTGACTAAAAAACTGAATCGCCATTACCAGCAAGTGGCCAAGGGGAAAGAAAAAAAAAAAATCGTCGTCTCGGCGGGGGTGACGGATAACCTTGTTGAACCTTGTTGGAAAGGCAGAAATCAGAGATGGAGGGGATAAAAAGAGGCCAAAATGACATCAGCGACCCGCCGGGGGATCCGCCAGCCCCAGCGGGCGTTGTTAAGAAGCTGCTGCAATGGGCTGTTTGTCTGGTGTTGCGAGGGAGAATACAAAGTCCAAAAGGCAGGTTGGAACAGTCAGTGATGATAAAGGACAAGCCACCAAAGGAACACACGGCATCATGGCCGAGGTAGGTTTGGAGCGATTTACAGTCGGTCACAGCCGGCCACAGCGCGGCTACGGATTACCAGCGAGGCCAAGTTTGCGTGCAGTGGTGGGCACTGGGCCTGCAGGCTGCACCCCACTGTCCATACCATGGGCCTGCATGATACGGCAGCGTCGTATTGAAGCGGTTAGGAAGGGAAAAAAAAAAAAAACTGACGCTTCTTGCACCAGTAAGAAATAATGGTTGAGAAAATTCAAAACGAGAACAAAATGCCGAGTTTGTGTATTTACTTGCAACCCCAGCTGCTGCAAGCCTCCTCAGCAAGGCTGCGGGGGCTGGTGCAACATGTCAAGCCCCCGCCCATCGCCCAAAATCTATACGGTGCATCTCGGGAAGAGATTGACACTGTGCAGTCTCATGCAAATCTGCGGAGTCATCACAGTGCAGATAGTGTCATATCGAGATGCACAATCAATCCTTCCACCTATTTTGTACGTGATGGCCACAACACCATATTTAGTTAAGACTTTACAACCGACGGGCGGCACGGTGGCATGTCGGTGAGAACCCTTTGCCAAAAGCTGACTCTTGTCCAGGGTCCCAGGGTCCACCTGCTGCGCAGCCAACTCGCGTGATCGCAATTAGCAATTCCGATGCTCCGCCTCGGCCAATCTTGCCGCCATCATTCTTTTTCTTTGGCCGTCGTCGTCACTGTCGTCTGTAAATATTCTAGTCAATATTTAGAAATAGCGCCAAACTTTTCAACCGCTTGGCTGACTTTCTTCTTCCCGTGCAAACCGACCCAATATCTTATCTACTGGTTCCTTCCCCCCCAATTCTCCAAGAAATCCATTTCCCCAACTCTCCCCTCCATCTTTTTTCTACCAAGATAACTATCCTCTTGCCTCATCTTCCCTTCACCTCCATCACCCCTCACCATCTATTGCTTCGACTATTCCATCTCAAAGCTACAAGTGACGTTTAATCGCCTACTTTACTAGCTTTTCGTCTTACTCGCTCCCTGACCTGACCTGCATATCCACTCCGGTTTTGGTCAAACTTTGCTGCTGCTGCTGCTGCTGCTACTCCACTCAGACGTTTCTCATTCTTATTAGTCCACACTTCGCCCGTCAAACGCTCACGATACTTTTCTCATTCCCATCGACTCAAGTATTCAGCACCCATATGCCAAGATGACCACCCAGGTTCTCCCCGCGTCCGCCGCTACCACCTTTGACTACATCATCGTCGGTGGTGGCACCGCTGGCTGCGTCCTCGCTTCCCGCCTCTCCAGCTACCTCCCGGAGCGCAAGATTCTCCTCATCGAGGCTGGCCCCTCCGACTTCAACCTCTCCCAGGTCCTCAACCTACGTGAATGGCTCTCTCTCCTCGGCGGTGACCTCGACTACGACTATCCCACCACCGAGCAGCCCAACGGCAACTCTCACATCCGCCACTCTCGTGCCAAGGTCCTCGGCGGCTGCTCCTCCCACAACACCCTCATCTCCTTCCGTCCCTTCCGTCACGACCTCGATCGCTGGGTTGAGCAGGGCTGCACCGGTTGGACCTTTGAGAATGTCACCCGCCACATTGACAACCTCCGCAACACCTTTCAGCCCGTCCACGCTCGCCACCGCAATCAGCTCTGCAAGGACTGGGTCAAGGCCTGCTCCACCGCTCTCAACATTCCCGTCATTGACAACTTCAACCACGAGATTCGCGAAACCGGTCAGCTGACTGAAGGCGCCGGCTTCTTCAACATTTCCTACAACCCCGACGACGGCAAGCGCAGCAGCGCCTCTGTTGCCTACATCCACCCCATTCTCCGCGGCGACGAGCGCCGCCCCAACCTCACCGTTCTGACCGAGACCTGGGTTTCCAAGGTCCACGTCGAAAATGACGTTGCCACTGGTGTCGACATTGCTCTCAAGTCTGGCCACAAGATGACTCTCCGTCCCCGCAAGGAGATTATCCTCTCCGGCGGTGCAGTCGACACCCCCAAGCTCATGCTGCACTCTGGTCTCGGCCCCCGCGCCCAGCTCCAGTCTCTGGGCATCCGCGTCGTCAAGGATCTCCCCGGTGTCGGTGAGAACCTCATTGATCACCCCGAGACCATCATTATGTGGGAGCTCAGCAAGCCTGTTCCTCCCAACCAGACCACGATGGATTCGGACGCCGGTGTCTTTATCCGCCGCGACCCCGCCAATGCCGCTGGCAATGATGGCACCGCTTCCGACATTATGATGCACTGCTACCAGATTCCCTTTACTCTCAACACGGAGCGTCTCGGCTACCCCCTCATCCCCGACGGCTATGCTTTCTGCATGACCCCCAACATTCCCCGCGCTCGCTCTCGTGGCCGCATCTACCTCACCTCGGCTGACCCCAACGTGAAGCCCGCTCTCGACTTCCGCTACTTTACCGATCCCGAGGGCTACGACGCCTCCATCCTCGTCGACGGCATCAAGGCCGCCCGCAAGATTGCTCAGGAGGCTCCTTTCAAGAACTGGCTCAAGCAGGAGGTCGCTCCCGGCCCCAAGGTCCAGACCGACGAGGAGATTAGCGAGTACGCCCGTCGCGCTGCCCACACCGTCTACCACCCCGCCGGCACTACCAAGATGGGTGACATTAGCAAGGACGAATTTGCCGTCGTCGACCCTGAGCTCAGGGTTCGTGGTATCAAGAAGCTCCGTATCGCTGACGCCGGTGTCTTCCCTGAGATGCCCTCCATCAACCCCATGCTGACTGTCCTCGCCATTGGTGAGCGCGCTGCTGAGTTGATTGCCATGGAGGATGGCTGGAAGCCCGATGCCAACAAGTCTCGCCTGTAAACGAGCGTTTTGTTGGATGTGAAAACGTTGAAAAAATCTTGACGTCTGATTTTGTCAAATTTTCTTATTTTGTCAAATCTCTTGGAAATATTCAAGTTGGATAAAGATGAAAACCAAGGGAACCTCGTATTGGTCGATGAGCGTGTCCAGCCGCCTGGCCAGCGAGGCATGAGTACATGTATATACCAGTCAGTGCATGATGTCAGAACATGAATTGTACGCAATTAAGCTAGCATAGCTGAATGAAGAATAAAATGATGTATCAAAAATGAATGCACTTGGTGGTAATCATTTGCCATGAATGTCCAGAGTAGTATTGAATGCGAAAAAAAAGCTGTACGACGTTGACATGAAGGAAACAAGGTGAAATCAAATGACATTAAATAGAATGAATCAAAGAAAACCAAACTAGACAAAAAGAAGAATAGATCAAAGAAATGCCATCGCTCATGATGCTTGCTCATAGTTAATGCTTACTCATGCTTTCTTTCTAATGCTCAATGCACGCACGCCTCAACCGTCTTCTTCAGCCTCTGCACCACACTGCGCACCAGCTCATGCGCTCCCTCATCGGTGATGCGTGTCTGCGGGCCAAATACGCCCATGTCGAGATGGCCGTTGCGGACGGCGAATTCGACATCCACAGAGTCCTAATCTTTGTTAGCAGCTGTCCTAGGTAGATAGTGATACCAAAAGACGTAAAGACGTAAAAACG